GTATATTGTGTGGCTTTGATTAGGGTTGGGTGGATAAACGTTGCCATCATCCATCGCCAATGGCTGATAGACATTGCAATGCTGAGCCGACATTGTAATCCTCCATCCTGTCCCCATCGCAGCAGCAACCCGCTCACAAAAAATACACACTTAGACAACGTTTACACTAATACGTATTAGTTTTGAAATGGTATTTTAGAACGAAAACATTCCATGTCCACACTGGTGTTTCCTAGCATTTCTGAAAGATCTCTGTTCACACTATACCGCTGAAAACGCACATCATGTGACCACACACGCACTCTGGCATGCGCTGCAGCATATGCGCACACATCTGAGCTCAAGGCAGTCAGTGGGTGCTTTGAGCACAAAACCCCAGAGAACAGTGCATGTCAAACGTTTTATCAAGGATGTACCGCTGGATCATGTCTCACTATAGTTGTTAAACGTGATATTTAATTAATCTTGTCTCTATCTGATCACTCTTTGTTTTTTTAATCTATCAGGTAACGTGTCACAGCATCAGTACAGTGCATTAATATTTCACTTTCATGCTTGTACTTAGTAATTTTAGCAAAAACCTTTGATACTGATGGATGGTTGCTGTTGGTTTTGCACCTTTTTTAACTACCAAGTTTGTCAACACCATTATAATGACACAGATCACTCTGCCTATTCATGCCAGAGTCCTGTGGAAAAAGTGATTAACAGTAGGGATTCTCGATTATGGGAAAAATCATAATCACGATTATTTTGGTCATAGATGTAATTATGATTATTTAAAACGATATACAGTTGAAGTCGGAATTATTAGTCCTTCTGTGAATTTTATTTTATTTTTTTAATAGCAAGAGTTTTTTCTATTTCCTATAATATTTTGTCTTCTGGAGAAAGTCTTATTTGTTTTATTTTGGCTAGAATGAAAACATTAAAATATAAAATATTTTGAAACCTATTTTAAGGTCAATATTATTAGCTCCCTTAAGCAATATTTGTTTTGGATTATCTCCAGAACAAACCACTGATATACAATGACTTGTTTAATTACCCTAATTAAGTCTTTGAATTGCATTTTAAGCTGAATGCTTATATTTTGAAAAAATGTAGTAAAATATTATGTACTGTCATCATAGCAAATATAAAATAAATCAGTTATTAGAAATGAGTTATTAAAACTTTTATTTTTAGAAATGTTAAAAAAAATCTTCTTTCATTAAACAGAAATTGGGGGAAAATATTAAGGGCCGCTAATAATTCAGAAGGGCTAATAATTCTGACTTCAACTGCATATACAGTTTTTTCCTCCCTGTAAATAAGGAAAGGGAAATAAAAACAATAGAATAAAAATCTTAAACAAACTGCTTTAAGCATCTTCACTGTATGAAACCAAACTTTAATTATAGCTACAAAAGTCCTTCAGTCAGGAGCAGTGAGTGATTTTGTCCTTTTGTTGTTTGATTATTAATGATAAAAGCAGGCCGCAGCAGGAATATTGTGCGCTGTCACTTTAAGAACATTTATGATTTTCTGATTTATGGTTTCACTTTCACGTATCTTGACTCTCAACTTGTTTATTACATAAATGAAGGTTGATATGAATACTCACTTTGAAAAATGTGCAAGTATTCAACTGTTAAAGTGCTCACAGTAAGATGACGTTACATGTGTGTGCTCTGCTTGTCTCTGAGGCTGAGCGTGCATACACACAACAGCATGCAAACTCTTTTGTTTAAACACATAAATGATTCGAGTGTATATCAATGAATGATGGGCATCCCGTGCTTCAAACGTTGCATTACAGTACATGCTTTCAGTCATTTTCATTTGTTGCAGAGCAAATAATGTCTACAACTGGAAAAGGGTGGTATATGATGCAATAATCATTTACCTCGATTAATGTTTTTTCACAATGGTTAGAAGACAAAATTGAAATCGAAACTGAATTTCGATTAATTGCACAGCCCTAATTGACAGGTGGTAATTTGTGTGTAGCTTATCTTTTTTTATTTATGGTTTGGTTATGGGTAAAACAAAGACCTTGCAGGTCAGGTAGTTAAACGGTAGGCTACAGATAATTAATACGTTATGAATTAAATAATTATTCATAAATAATTAATTCACGCTGTTTACGACAATGATGCCATTGTTTAGGAAAAAATGATGTTTTACATTAGACCTCATACGATGCCAAATTGGTCGACATCACCCAACTCTAGTTTTGATAAAAATGTAGGATTCATGGTCACTGATGTTTGTAATTTTAACAAAAAAAAAAAAATAAATAAATAAAATAAAAATAAATACATTTAATAAATACAAGTGCTATATGAAGTTACATTTTCGCTAAAAGATATAAACAAAACTAAAAGGCAAAGATTTGTTCTTGAATTACACACAAACTGTTGAGTGAATGAGAATATTTTGCAAGTGTCAAACAAATATGTTTTACACAATATATATATGAAGCTTTAATCTGCCAAGATATAATGAATGTTAAACAGTAGAATAAAACTGGCAAATTATTTCAAGCAAATGTGTGTTGTTTATGGAAATGACATTCTCTTTCTCTTCCACACACACTCAAACAAACACAGAAACATATGGACGCAAAAACACGTGGTCAGCAATGATGACCTGACTCAATAATGTAGTTATGCAAGTGAACAGATCCATTTCTCTGTAGCAGGGCAATAATGCCACTGTTCATTTTAGTTTTGCTGTTGACTGTTAAGAGACAAGCTGACAACATAGTTCACACATGCTTATTCACTCTCTCTCTCTCTCTCTTTAATAAATTCATTACTAATTCCATGACTCTGCATATTGATGGCTAAATGATTTACTACCTCCTTTCGGGATTAATAACAGAGGCTTGGGCTGAGGTGCATTAGAACTAGACCAAACCTGACAAGATAAACAATGTCTTTAGTTGTGGGAACTGTTTGTTTGTGATTGAGGTTGGCCTGCTTCCTGTTTCTTTTTAGATTAAAACCCTTTGTGAACATTTCACATTTCCCATTGCTGAAATTAAGATGTTTTTTTCTTTTAAGGCCTCGTGACTAAATAAAGGGCGCCAATGTGATCGTGAACACCAACGCACAACACGGCAGGCGCAACAGCGTTATTTTTAAAAAAACAACTCATGCTCGTTTTTTGTTTTGACACGCTGCGTCAAAGCTTTTTCCAGCAATCAGATTGGCACTTTTGTTCACTTGCACAGAGCTGCTGAAGTTACAGTAAACAGCACTTGGAGGCACTCAAGCGCAAAACTGTCAATGCGAAAGCACATTGAAGAAGATGCTCAGAGGCGATATGAACGTGGAGCTGCTTATTGCACTGGAGAACAAATCCTTTCTTCATCACTAGAGCTGGAGCTGCTGCTTGAACTATCCATGCTTGTTTGAATCGCCATTAAAGAGCCCATATTATGGGTTTTTGAAAATTCCCCTCCATGTAGTGTGTAACACAGCTCTAAGTGAAGTGAAGTATCCAGCTAAGGCTTAAATCTGTAAGAATACAGTGTTTAAAATGGTTGATTCATCTATAAAAGAGTCGAATCATAGTGCTTCAAACGAGTCGCCTTGATACCGATTCATTAGGTGTTTCGCCATGACGTACGAACGAAACCAAGTTATTCACGTGCACGCGCAAACCCGGGAGATTTCAAACCTGAGGCCCCGCCCTCTGACGCAGAAACCCAGAGACACACACACACACACACAAACATGCCGGTGGATTGAAGTCACACTGCAGATGGATATATTGAGTCTCTACCCAAAGATGAAACCTCAGCATTATAGCCAAGCAGTTGAAAACTACTGGACTTCTGGAAACTACATGCTACAAAGAATACTTCATCAGCGTTTGTTAAAGGAAGGATCAGTAAAGAGTAACTTACTGCTGGACATGTCAGGATGGATTTTTCTTCCTCCATTTCTCAAGTGTAAGTACGTGCGATTAAAGTTGCCTCGTTGACTCTAGCTTGTAAATGTATTTAGTTGTGATTTGTTACTTGTAACCGCGTGTACTGTATCAGGTTAACTGGCTATATTCTCTTATGGCGTGCAAAGTCACGTTAAAAACGCGACGCGTGCTGCTTTGTTAACGGAGCTCCGTGGACGAGGGGAGTAGTGTGTGTGTCTGTGTGTGCGTGCGCTGTCGTCCGGAGGTGTGTGTGTTTGTGTGTATGTGTGTGCGCACGCGCGTTGTCGTCCGGAGCAGGGTTAAGTGCGTGTGTGTGTGTGCAATATGCGTGTGTGTGTCTGTGAAAAGAGCAGAGTGAGAAGCTAGGAGATCTCCTCAACTGTTTTTGAGTTTTTGCTCAATAAAATAGTTAGTTGTCTGTATTTTCAAGTCCATTGTCTGTATTTACATTGACCCACTGGCAGCTAAAATCCACGCCTACACTATCGAGCGTGTATGAACTGTGATTACTTTTATATTGCTGATTAGCTGTTTGGCATTTCACTCTCTGACTGAAGGCAGTCGACCAATCGCAACAGACTGTCATTGGTCCAATCAGCGCAGATTAGCTTCGCGCTAAGGAGGGGTTTGGGAACAAATGAATCACTGGGCGATTCATACAGGAGTCGCTGGGATAATTAGGTAAAAATAAATGCAGATTATAAGACCACGAAAGTGTTTTTTGACCTTGCATGCATATTAAACTGTTGTTGGAGACCCTTACAACCAAGATATGACCCTATTTCATGTATAATATGGGCTCTTTAACAAGTGTGCCAACTTTATGTCTTTTTCTTCTGTGTTACAAGCAGGTGTCAGATGCTTAAATTTGTGTAGCGCCATCTAACGTCAAGGAGGGATTTTGCATACTCTTCTGCTTGATGCAGTGAAAATCGCTTAGGTTTGAAGTCCAGAAAAACATCTTGCAAAACGCTGACGATAAACGCAAACGAAAAGCTTCCCAGTGCATACGAGCCTTCACGCTATTCATAAAAAAGCAATCGTTCCACTGAGCTGCAAAGGAAATAATTCAGTCAAACAGTACAAATGCAAATGTTTTATTTTCATAGAATGTCCAAAGAACCTCTTTCCACAGGTGTTTGAGTGCGAGTCTGAAGCTCATAGTCACACTGAATAACCACAGTCTGAAGAGATTCTACACCAAGAAAGAAACAAGTCAAAGGCTGTTTTAGCTTTCGTAATATTCCAAAAACAAAACAAAACTCTGCAATGGGTCTTGCAATGGATTTTCACATAACCGGACAATGAAGCCACTTCCTTAATATGTTCTTGATTAACACACTCAAACTGTTGAGTCAATGAGATTATTTTACATGTGTAGTAGGTTTCACAGTTTTAAAAGACTTAAAAAAATGATATATATTAAGCTTTTATCTGCCAAGATAAATTAATAACATAAAAAACCAAGAGGATCAGTAATCTCTCTTACATATTATACAAAACCGTTGGCTCATGTACAGTTTTATTGATCAGTGTTTCAGCCCCTGTGATTGTCAAATATTGAGAACAGAAGAGGACAGATGAGGATCAACACATCCACTGAAGGCTCAGCCTTGCATGGGCGCAATTTAAACCATACAAACACTGCACCGACATCCACCGAAAAAATCCATGGGAAACGCCACTGAAAATGCCATGATGCATACGTTCCTCTTGAAATTGTTCCAGTGTAGATTCACAAACACGTATGAGAGCAGGTGATGCAGATTTATTGAGTACTGCGGCATGAGAGTGATGATAAACTGATTGAGTGTGATTTTTCTTTGATGGTTTGATATGCAGCCATGAAAAACCAAAGCAGTGAGCCGTCACACTATCATCACATGAACACCCGCCACTCACAGCCCATCTGAAATGACTAAAAAATATTCACCACTTTCTAGAAAGTCAAAATGTCACTACAAAATCATTGTTCACAAGTGCTTTTTTTCTCCAATATTGATTGGGTCATAGTGTTCTTGCCACTGGCTGTTCAGTTCTCCATTCTCGGGAAGCGTCTCTGCAGCAACCAGGTTGTTTCTCTCCGTAGGAGATGGAGTGGCATCAGCACCAGCTGAACTCTGTTACCTCCTGCCCATCTCGTTCTGTTTGAGGAACTGGATGTTAGCGCTGCTGTCTGCCAGTTCAGGATATTGCTCCACCGGCAGCACGTAATAGCCCTCGTATCCTGCAACCTTCCCCATGGCTAACAGTTGTCCCCTCTCGGTTTCAGCCCAGACACGTCCCCCTTCCCTGCCCTCTCGCACTTGTTGCTGCTCCCAGGCCCAGGCTCCAGACAGTGCCCTCTGGTGGGCCTGTTCCAGCACACGGCTTCGCTCCTTTTCCAGGGCCTCTGCCGACAGTCCATATCGGATGCTGTAGGTGAGTTTGGAGGAGTGGATTTCTAGGGTGACACCACGACGGGAGCGTCCGCTTATCGTAATATTGATCCCGCTCTCCAGGCTCTTATGGCCACCGCTGAGTCCCAGTGCAAGCAGATCACTGTCTGCAAGCCCAAGCTTCACGAAGAAGTGGCAGTCTCGGCCTTCGATGGTGTAATGAGTGCCCTCCAGGTAGATAGCGTTGCTGAGGATCTGAGATATTTTGCGACTGTCTTCGCTGGCTGAGCTGGACAGGTCTGTTAATACGTGACCTTCCTTGATAGCAAGCATCATGCCTTTGCCCACGATGGGTGTGCTGGTGCCAAACCAGTAACCGGGCTTGTCATGCTTGGTGCGCCGCTGTTTGTTAAGTCGCCTTCCCTCAAGAACCATGAAGGCCTGGTTGTGTCTGTCCACAGAGTGCTGAACTCCAGTGAAGAGCTGTGAATTGGCATAAATGGTTAGTGACACCTGATAGACATGACTCAGCAGTAAAATTATATATGTTACATGGATCACTTTAAGTTGTGTGCAGTGTTGGCACATAATTTACAGAGGAATTTGGTTAAGACTGGTCAGTTTGTTCCTAAAAGTGCTGTTGTGATGTCAGTGTTGACCATCATCTAAAACGTAAAATTGCAGTGCACAGAATTACAGCTTCATCTGTACAATCCACTAAAATGACTTGATAATTAGTCTACATCAATATTTTTAATTGACTTCTGCTTTTATATGATCATTTTCATTATCCAACATCAAATCTAAGTCTTCCTCCTGCTGAAGAGGAGATCAATCTAACAAACTTTTACGACTATCAGTTGATTTGGAAAATTGGGAAAAACTATCAGATATTTTGAAAAAGAATAACACTAAGCAAATCACAAAGCGGATGTATACATCTTTTGTGAAAGGTAATTAAAGTTCTTAGCTCTGAAATTTTGTTTATTTTTTCCATGTTCAAGAATATTGTGTTGTGTTGTTATTTTGCATTTTATTTAGCTTAGCGAAAATTATGTAAGAGAAATTTACTAGAAGTTTTCTTTTTTTTTTTTTTAAATGAGACTAAAACATGAATATGAAGTAATGTTGTACAAGGTTATGTTATTAGTACACATTTAGCATTATCAGCAAGATCATTTTTCACAGTAGTAAATTTGATTACATTCTTTTTATTCAGCTGAGTATTTCCTGATTTTTATTGCTGTTATATATGACACATTCTAAGTTATGCTTGTTAACACCAAAATGTTTCTTAGAGTATGCTATTGAGGAACAAAAAGCAAATGACATTTGTCTCATCCCCTTTTTGCTGATCTGAAAAATGGTCCGATCCTCGACTCAAAAACCATGACGTTAGCTGATTCAGGAGATTTGTGATCTCTTACACCACTAGTTTTTATCAGAAATTACCATAACCTATGTGCAAACCAATTATGTGCCTATGTGTAACCTATGTTAACCTATGTGTTATACCAATTTTTTTAAATCAGAAGCTTTTTTCCTCCATAATAAATTAGCTGCACATCAGAGTAGGGCTGCTTGATTATGGGAAAAATCATAATCACGATTATTTTGGTCATAATTGTAATCACGATTATTCAAAATGATTATTAGTTAAAGACAAAAATATTAGCGCTCCTGTAAAATTTGTATTATTTTTTTTATAATATTTCCCAAATAATGTTTGACAGATTTAGTAATTTTTACTGTATTTCCTATTATATTTGTTCTTCTGGAGAAAGTTTTATTTTAACTGGAATAAAAGCAGGTTTAAGTATTTTAAAACCTATTTTAAGGTCAATATTTATAGCACTCTTTAGTAATATATTTTTTTACTGTCTGCAGAAGAAACTACTGTTATACAATCAATGACTTGCCTAATTACACTAAGTAAGCCTTTGAATCACACTTTGAATCTGAATGCTTGTGTTTTTAAAAATATCTAGTCAAATATTATGTGCTGCCATCATGGCAAAGATAAAATAAAACAGTTATTAGAAATGAGTTATTGAAACTATTGTTTAGAAATGGGTTGAAAAAAAAATCTTTTCATTAAACAGAAATTGGGGGAAACGCACACACACAACAGCATGCAAAGTCATTTGTGCATTTAAACGCATCAATGATTCGAATGAACATCAATGAATGATGCGCATCCCGTGCTGCAAACGTTACATAACAGTACATGCTTTTAGTCATTTTTATGTGCAACCGAGCTTTGCAGAGCAACAAATGTGTACAACTGGAAAAAGGGCGGTATATATGCAATAATCGTTTATCTCGATTAATGGTTTTTCATAATCGTTAGAAGCCAAAATCGAAATCAAAACTGAATTTTCGATTAATTGCACAGCCCTACATCAGAGCATACAAAAGACACATACGAGCGATGTGTTCAGTGTCAGATATGATGTGCTGTATGGGATCTTAATCATGAGATAAATTCATGTTAAAGATTGTCTTTTACTCATATTTCATAAATAAAGTGCAGTAGTTTTATTATACTATATTAAAGAAATTGTATTGCATTGCAAGTGGCATAAATGACCTTGTGGACATGTAGATATAATTGCCATTCATGTTAAGAACATGCTAACTTATTTTATTAGGTTTGTTTAATTTTTTTGATTAGGTTTGTTTACATTTTAGTTTTATGTTTTGTCCGTATCTTGTTTACATTTGTATTTTTTCAAAGTACAACCTGAATGTCAAAGTTGCAAGTTAGGGTTGGGCCAATAGAGGATGCCATCAACCATCCATAAAATAAAGTTAATAGTTTAGTTGAATAATCAATAAATTAGTCGATAGATTATTCAATATAAATACAGCCGTTAGTTACATCACCTACATGGAATACACAATGACACTGGTCATCTTTTTAAAAATTATTATTTGAAAGGTGTTAATTCAGATTGGTTTATGACAGTATTTTTAAACGTACTATTAATGCAAAAAAAAGCAATACAATTTTATGCATTTTTTAAGTATGCAATGAGGAGTTACACGTTTTTATTGTTCCATTTTTAGGTTTTTACTTATTTAGTGGGGAGCACTGTGTCAGTGTTGACATGTGATTTTTGTTGTTAAAGAGGCACCAAATCAAACTCACCTGAGCATTATCAGAGTCCTGACTGGCAAATATCTCATAAGGAGGGTTGACAAAATAAAGTGAATGCCTTGGAAACCCTGGTATGATATTGCTGAGTTGAAAGCCGAACATAACCAGCCAACTCTTCACATCTGCAAGAAAAAAAAAAAGAAAAAAACTTCCTTTTACAAGTTGTCATAGGAAGCACTGTGCATCATTTACACAAAAGCTGAAGCTCATAGGTTTTATCACCCTCTCACCTGTCACATAGTTTTTTACGTCAATCATATCACTGAGTGGATTGTTGTTCTTGAACATATACAGATTGAATGGAGCTGGCTCTTTGCCTATTTTCGACCACAGCGTATGGTCAGGTGCAATCCATCTTCCTGCCAGGACATCATAGTCTCTCTGGGCAAAATGCACCAGCTTTGTGAGAGAATCATAAAGCCCTCCATGGAAGCCCAATATGAGCTGGAAATCCGGGTTAGAATCATGGTAGATCTCTCCGTACGCTGTGTACTGCATCTGCTTGACCATCTGCCCGTTACTGCTGAAGATGGCAAGTGGAGTGCCTACATTGTCAGAGGCGATGTAATATTCCTCTCCACCGCTGACCTCCATAGCGAACAGATGACCCTGTAGGTCATAATAGAAGGAGGTGATTTCAGCTCTCGTGTGGTTGTACACATGGGTGACCCGAGTGGGATAGTTCAAGTCTGCATAGAAGTACTGCTGATGCTCGCCTTCACTTGTTCTGCGGGAGACTCTGCGACCAAGGCCATCGTAACGGTAACGGACACTCCAACCTCCTGCTGTGCGGCTGTAGGCTCGCTCAAGAAGACCCTTAGAGTTGTACTCAAATACATCCGAGCCCCTCTGCATGAGCACACCGTCCTCATCGAGTTGATACTGCATGTCACCCAACCTCGTAATTCGGTCTCGAAGATCATATCGTAGTGGCAGCAAACGGGCACTGTTACCCGGGTTGAGCAAATGGAGATTGCCGTTCAGGTCATAACTGTAGCGCCATGTAGACCAGTCATCAACTTTGACCCCCACAAGTTGTCCATCACCATCATATTCATAGCGGTACTGTGTAGTATTGGCATAGGGACCAATCTTTAACTCACGTTTGATAACTCTTCCCATGCTGTCATACTGCACTGTCATCCAATACATCAATGAGCGAAAGATCTCATATTGCACTTCCTTGATGCGACCATGTGCATCAAAGTGCTTACTGAGCGTCATCACCGCTGTGGTGATGATTTGGTTGATGTCATAGTATATGATGCCAAACTTGCCAAAGTGTTCAACCTTGCCGGAGATCTCATCATAGCGGTATAGATCCACAGGAAGTGGGGTTTCTCCTATTACCGGCTTTATGCTAGCCACCCTGAAGCTGTTGTCATGATAGGTGTAGTCGAAGCGAGCGTTGACCATTCCTTCTTCAGAGAAGCGGTACATCTGCTTGTCCACTAGAGGACCCAGTTTGCGATAGCGAATGGTGCAGGAGAAGCCTCCACTCTGCAGGTTGACCATTTTGAGGACTCCTGTTGTCTCATCATAGCCAAAGGTGACTGCAGTGGCATCATACAACACCTCAGAGAGTTTTCCCAGCTTCCCGTACTTGTAGAGTACACGTCGTCCCGTTCCAAGGTAGAACATTGCACATGGACGTCCATCCACGCTAAAATCATGGATGACAGTGGCATTGCTTTCAGGGGGGTTGTAGGTGTTGCGAATGTACCCGACAGACACATGGGTGGCCATTGTGTGTCGAGCCATGCTGGGCATTGTGACCGCTGTGAGTCGGCCTGCTGTATCAAAATCAAAGACGTACTGCTTTTGACTTTGCTGGAGCAGCAACACCATGGACTGCAGAGAGAGAAAGAGAAAACGTAAACAAAACAAGTACACTCATAAATATTGGTGGAAAGTAATTCAACTCACTTTGTCCACGTAACTGAAGCTCCAGATTTTGCCATCAACAAAGGTTCTTGACAGGATCCGTCCAAAAGTGTCAAACTCGCTCTTCTCACTCATGCTGCCCCTCTGCAAGCCCACTAGTCGACCAGTGGGTGAGTAAGACACATTGACCAGGGCTAAGCTGCTGCTAGGCAGCCAGGTGGCTGGTCGGCCCTGGGCATCATAGATAATGCGCAGAGTGAACTTTCGGTGGTCATCGTAGATCTTCTCGGTTCTGGTGTTGCGGTCATAGTCAATGGACAGAAGGTTTCTGCTGTGGACCTGCAGGAAAACATTTAAGGTTATTTCAAGTTATAAGCTCCAATCTTAAACTCTTGTTAAAGTTAGCTGCACACTGGATGCTTTATAATATCATTGCTTCTCAGGTTGTACAAATATGTTTACAGATGCCATCTTGCTGTGGGATCTTACGGGGGGCAGAGTGCATGGAGCATGTAGCAGAGACTTTGAAGGGCTCACAGTGAAGTCTGGGACCCTGAGACCCTGCCAGATGTCATTTTTATATTTACTTGAGGTGCCCAGGAAAAGAAAAACTGCATTGGGCCCAAAATTACTAGCAAAGACCTGTTGTAGTCACCCCAAGTAAATATATTGCAGCAAGGGTTAAACTCTCTAACATTTGTTTTCACTTTAATTGTATTTTCAGTTTCTCGATTCGTGATTTGAAAGTTGGTGTAAAAGGAGCCACACTACAGAATTTAGCTTGAAGTGACACTGATTGGCTGTTGGAAAGACTTCAACCTTTTTTCTAAGATCAAATCTTCTTTTAAGGATTGCCAAAATTCTAGTGTGCACCTAACCTTACATAATAAATATCAAATGATTTGTAAATTTAAATTATTCAATTAGCCAGATTTAAACTGCTAACTGAGAAACATTAGAATTACAATATAACATTATGAACTTCTATAAAGTGTCTTTTAAACAATGTGCATTTTTTTTTTCCAAAAGTATTTTTATTGAACATATTAGATATGAAACATACATTACAAAATAGCTTTTCAATTTTTTTTTTTACACAACAAACAAACAAAACCTGCCGCACATACATTTAGGTTCTAGAAAAAAAAAAAAAAATAATATTAAGAAAAAATACAAATAAATAGTAATAATAAGTAAAACATATGTTACTCTCATTAATAAGGGGAGAAAAAAGAAAATACAAAAAATTTAAGAGAAAAGAAAAAAAAACAACAACAAACAAACAAGGAAAGGTTCTACTCTTCTAAAATGACTGAGGGGTCCATCTTTTTTACGTGATCTAAAACAGGTTGCCAGGTGAGAAAAAACATATCAGTACAGCCTCCTAAAGTGTATCGTATTTTTTCTAAGGTCAGGTGGTGTAGAAGTTCCATAAGCCATTGCTTAAAGGTTGGAGGAAGTTTTTCCTTCCATTTCAGCAATATTAATCTTCTAGCTAAAAGCGTAGCAAAGGCAATCACATTTATCTTGCTTTTGTTAAAACATAAGGACTGTGGTGTGATTCCAAAAATTGAAATTATGGCCTCAGGTTCTACATAGGTATTTAATGCGTCCGAGAGGAATTTAAATATTAGCTGCCAGAATTTCTTTAATTTTGAACAAGCCCAAAACATATGAGATAAAGTAGCTGGCTCAATGTTACACCGGTCACAGTTAGGGTCTATATTTGGTTTAAATTTGGCTAGTTTCACTTTGGACCAATGTAATCTATGTACTACTTTAAATTGTATAACTCTATGTTTTAAACAAATTGAAGATGAGTGGATATTGTCTAAAACGGATTGCCACATATCTTCTGATAGTTCTATCTCTAGCTCCACCTCCCATTTTCTTTTTAATTTTACTAGGGGTTCCAGATTATGGGAATTAATTATAGAATATATTTTGCCAATAAGTCCTTTTGAGTATGGGCTTAGCTCCATAATAGAGTCAAGCAGGGAGGGGGGAGGCAGTGAGGGATAGTGACTCATTGAGGAGGACACAAAACTTCGCAGCTGGAGGTATCTAAAGAAGTGGGAATTTGGAATTTGAAACTTAACTTTTACTTGTTGGAATGAAGCAAATTGCCCATCAATAAACATATCTTTTAATATCTTAAGACCTTTCATAGACCAGATGTCAAAAGTTTTGTCTATAGTAGAGGGGGTGAACATATGATTTCTTGCTATGGGGGCATAGGCTGATAGTCCTTTAAGTGCAAAACTTCTTCTAAATTGTGCCCATATTTTGAGTGAGTGTTTGACAACTGGGTTTAAAGAGTATTTAGATAAAGGTTCAGGTGTCGGAAATCTTGAGCATAGCAGAGCATGGAGAGAGGTTGAAAAATTTGATGTGTTTTCTAAAGATAACCAATTAGGGCCACTGTCATATGATGGATTTGACCAGTGTAGCATTGCTCGAATATTAGCTGCCCAGTAATACTGCTGAATGTTGGGTAATGACAATCCTCCATGGTCTCGGTGTCGTTGTAAAATATTTTTACGGATACGTGCATTTTTTCCATTCCATATAAAAGATGATATTAATTTATCTAAAAGTAAGAAAAATGATTTTGTTAAGAATACAGGTATGCACTGAAAAAGATATAAACATCTGGGTAATATATTCATTTTTATAGTGTTTATTCTACCTCCCAGTGACAATGGTAACGGATTCCAACGTTCAAGGTCTTTTTTTATGGAATCTATCAGTGGAGGGAAATTAACTTTGTACAAATGTTTGTATTTATTAGTGATCCATATACCTAAATATTTGAATTTGTCTTTAGTTATTTTAAATGGTAGTGAGGTAAAAATAATCTTTCTACCAGCATTATTAATGGGCATAAGCTCACTTTTTTGCATATTTATTTTATAACCTGATATTTTCCCAAAGGCAGTCAGTAATGTCATAATTTGTGGTAGAGTTGTTAGTGGTTCAGATATATATAGGAGGGTGTCATCTGCATAGAGAGAAATTTTATGTTCAAAGTTGTCCCTCTGTATACCCTTGATATTGATATCATTTCGTATCGCAATGGACAGAGGTTCAATTACCAATGCAAATAATAAGGGGGACAGAGGGCAGCCTTGTCTGGTTCCCCTTTCTAACGAAAAGAAAGGAGAAATGTGACAATTTGTACGTATTGCTGCCATAGGTGATGAGTATAAGATTTTAATCCATGAAATGAACTTTGTGCCAAATCCAAATTTTTTAAGAGTGTAAAAGAGGTAGTCCCACTCCACCCGATCAAAAGCCTTCTCAGCATTAAGTGAGAGAAGGACTTCCGGGACATCAGATGGAGTGGGATGGTGGAGGATATTTAGAAGTCTGCGTATATTATAGAATGAATATCGGTTTTTAATAAAGCCTGTCTGGTCACCAGAAACTATTGTAGGTAGCACTATTTCCAGGCGATGCGCTAATATTTTGGCGAATATCTTACTTTCAACATTCAGCAATGAAATTGGTCGATAAGAGCTGCATTCTGATGGATTTTTATCTTTTTTATAGATTAGAGAAATAATTGCTTGATTCATAGTCTCTGGCAAGGAGCCCGTGACTGAGGATTCTTTATATATGGAAAGTAGAATAGGGGCAAGATCGCCAGAGAATTTTTTAAAGAATTCACTTGGAAAACCGTCTGGGCCTGGTGATTTTCCGTTTTGCATAGATGACACTGCTCTAATAAATTCGTCTTTTGAAAATGGATTCTCCATGTCTAGAGCGAACTCTTGATCAATAGTGGGTAGACTAATTTTCTTAAAAAAAGAATCAAATAATGACTCATCTTTACAAGACTCCGAAGTATATAATTGTGAATAGTATTCTCTAAACCGATGGTTGATCTCTAAGGGATTCGTCAATTTAGTGCCAGTGTTATCATTAACTGACATAATGGAATGTGCTGCATTTTGTTGTCGAAGTTGGTGAGCTAAGATCTTCCCTATCTTTTCACCATGTTCATACATCTTATGCCTGGACTTAATTAAAAGATTTTCTGTTTGTTTTGTACATAATAAATTAAATTCAGACTGAAGAGCTAAACGCTGTCTAAACATGTCAGGTGTAGATGAGTGTGGCAGAATTTCATCAAGTTTTAAAATATCATTTTCAATTTTTTTAAGCCGCTCATGTTGTTTTTTCTTTAATCTGGCACTATATGATATAATTTGGCCTCGAAGATAGGCTTTAAGAGATTCCCAGATAAGACTAGAAGATATTCCTGGAGTCTGATTGTGCACTAAATATTCTCTAATTTCTGATGATATAAATTTAACAAACTCCACATCAGAGAGAAGTAGTGTATTAAATCGCCATGGCCGATAGTTGTTTGATGTAATTGGCATATCTAGAGTGATTAATAATGGCGCATGATCTGATATCACTATTGCATTATATTTGCATTCACTAACTAGAGGAAGTAGTTCACTGTCCAGAAAAAAATAATCTATACGTGAATATGTCTTATGAACTGGTGAATAAAATGAATAACCTCTACACCCAGGATTTTGGAATCTCCAAACATCAATCATTCCATAGGTTTTAAGAAGTTGGTTAATCACTTGAGTTGTACGACTTGGTATCATTGGTTTGAGAGAGCTGCGATCCAGTGAGGGTGATAGTACGCAATTAATATCTCCTCCTAATATAAGATGATGAGTATCTATATTAGGTATTCGTGAGAAGAGACCCGTAAAGAATGCACTGTCATCCCAATTGGGTGCATATACATTTACCATAACTACCGGAGTATTATTTAGTCTACCCACTACCATTATATAACGGCCTGCTGGATCAGCTTCGATTTTTGATGCCTCAAATGAAACCGTTTTACTAATGAGAATTGCTGTTCCTCTAGATTTGGAGTGAAAAGTCGAGTGAAAGAGTTGTCCCACCCATCCTCCTCTTAGTCTAAAGTGATCAAAAGTTTTCAGGTGGGTTTCTTGTAGGAAAGCGATATCTGTATTTAACTGTTTTAAGTGTGAGAGAACCTGACAATGTGCATTTTTTAACAGTGCTATGTTAAATTAAAACTTGTCGATTAGCTTCAGTGGTAGAAAAGAAAAGCTTACGCGCAGCTTCCTGCCAAACACTGTGACCTTGCCCTTGGTCAGCTCTTTTCTCATGCGCCACTCAATGGAGTTGAGTCCGCTGTCAGTGGGCAGACTGATGTTGCGCCTCCCGATGGTTGGGCTTACAGATCCTGCAATGATGTGTGGTTCTGTGTGGAAGCTGATGCCCATCCCATTAGCATAGGACACTCGCAGTGTACCATTGTGGTACAACTGATAGCTATTGCGCACTTGGTCTGTGAACAGAGGAGAAAAAAATAAGCAAATGAGAATAAAAAGTTATACTCTTTAGACAAATTATAAATCATGTATTATGGCTGCAATAATTTAATGACTTCATTTATTGATTTAATGATATATTTCAAGTGTATTTCTTGGGACGTCAAAGCTTAATTTCAGCAGCATTACTTCATTATCATGTGATGCTTCAGAAGTTAATATAATAAAATTTGTTTAAGAAACATTTCAGATTCAGAGTTGAAAGAAAAGTTAATAATTTGAGCAATAAATAGATTTGTGAAATAACAGCAATTATTTAAGATCAAACTCTTTTGTAACATGTGAAGACACTACTTAAATTGTCACTTTCTCTGGATTTTAATAATTTGAGTAAAATAATATTTTGGTTTTATTCTATCAACAACTGATATTTATTCCAAATTTAAAATAATATTTGTGTCATTGAATAATTTTTTTTGCATTAAGTTAAACACAACAACAACTACAGTGTTTTAACTTTAAGAAATCAATATTTGATGGAATTCCAATTTTTCAATGACAAAAAAAAAAAAGTTGTATGGGCTCAATTTTAATGATCTAGGTGCAAAGTCTAAAGCGCATTACGTAAAAGCATTAAGGGTGTGTCCAAATCTACTTTTGCTATTTTAAAGATGGAAAAATATGCTCTGCACCCTGCTTATGGTCTAACAGGGTTGTGCTTATTCTCTTAATAAGTTACGGGTGTGTTTTGAGCACAACTTGCATTAATCCAATTAGAGTCTTATCTTCTGTTTCCTTTGAAGCTGCGGTCACACTAGAGTTTGTGCTTATAAAATTCTGTAGTACTGTGTGCGAAAAGGTGCAGGATTAAACAAGATGATTAGACATTAAAGAAAGTGAGCGATTGGTCCATGTTTTAAATTCCTGTTAAGAGAGGTCATGTTTTAGTCTTCGATTGGTCTCAGGCAATCATGTGATGCAATTTCACAGGTGTGGTCAGAAAACGGAGTAATATCTGATCACGCGTCCTATTCTAATGCCCCATATAGTAAATCATACGTCTCCAAAACCCCACAGGTGGACAAATCTAAACTTGTTTTTATTAAAACAAATATACATATGCATATAATAAGTGATACTGCTAATAATAATGACATTATACAAATGCAAATTGTCATTAACAAACTGAAAAAAGCTCCCAGATGTTAAGGCGGCATAGAGCCATTTTTTTTTTTTTTTATTCTTGTAGAAAATAGGGTCGCTCTGCTCTAAAAATAGCAACAAATCACACCAAACACGCCTTGAGCCTTATTGTGTCAAGTGTATGACAGGGCCCAAAATGATTATATGACAATGTTTTTCTTCTTCTTTTATTTGTACATCTAATAATTTATTATAGTTCAAGTGGTCTCTTAATTTTTCTCATACCTGTATTTATGCATTGCTTGATGGCTTTAATTACTCTAATTATTATCTAGAATATTATAAATAAAGTATTAAGTCAACTTATTATGAAGTGTTCCCAAAGATTCATTCAGTTGAGTATGAAGCATTAGGTCTGATCTTACACTCTATTGTGCATCAGGGGAAGCGCAGCACTGCGGGGAGGATGTGTGTAATGCGGCTTTTGGCTATAAAGAAGATTTAGTTTCGGCTAAAAGCAGCAAAAACATCTTCACTTCCATTTACAAGGTATAATTGGATCAGACGCTGCTTTCTACAAAAATGTACCTGGGAAACACAATCATGCACAATTTCAAAGTCATAAAATAAATAAATAAATAAAATCCAACTGCATTTTAGTCAACTCCTAACAAGCAGAGGGCACCCAAAGGATTGGTTTTCTATGTAATTTGTCTCGAATAAACAGCAAAAGCAAACTCCTTACAGGAAGTAACAAGTATATTGCGCTAGCGAATCCATCATGAACACATAATCCACTGGATATAAAGAGAGGAGTTTAAGCCTTCAAGCTTTTGCCTCCACAAAGAACCCCTAAAGGCAGCCTATGGTAAATAGTAAAATGGTGATTTCTCTGCTCTGCTGGACGCTGCACATTCAAACAATGTGGCCTCCCATTGGGAAGAAAAAAGAAACATCAGTCTACTTTCCTGCTGCATGTTTGGATCTTAATGGATGTGATTTACAGAACGGGGGGCATCAGCATGAGATCTGGACTGAGCTTTGCTCTTTGTGTGTTGTGGTTGTGTGTTTTACCTTGAACCACAGTGTAAGACGACTCGACGGATGAGAGATTAGTGACGACGGTGACATCATCATCTCGGTTTGAGCTCTCCATGTCGATGTTGATGGACTCCTCCATCTCACGGCGCAGGCTGGTCACCACACCGGTGGGATACGTCACATTGGTCAGACGACCCTCATTGTCATAGCTGGGAAGCAGAGAGACAAAACCAAACTCATGATTTATTTACAATAAAGTTTGTTAAGTAATATTTTCTGTCTTTTAGTAGATATATTATACAAGAGACTTGCTTTGTTTTTCAAATAAATGGATTTAATCGGATTTGCATGGTAAATATTAAATACAGTTTAAATAGGTATTTCTTTTTTATTTCTTTTTTTATTTCATATATTATTTAGGTATAATGCTCCCAAAATCATTCCGCATAAATCCACAGATTTTTATTATTATTATTATTTTTTTTTTTTTTTACAAAATTCTCTGCAGAAATAGCATAAAATGTCTGCAGATTCTGTCTGGCCCTAGTAGTTACATGTATTATTATATAGTTGTTGTTGTTATTATTTTACATTCAGTGTTATTTTCTCTAAAATATATACACTATTGAATATTTTGTTTTTTGTTAGTATATTTGTTTTATGTATCATTGTAGAAGAAAACAAAAACTATGCTTTAGTCAAACATATCTAGAATGTTTACATGTTTTAGACCACCTGTCAAACCTGTTTAATAGTAGAAATTAGGGCTGCACGACATTGAAAAAAATCTGATGTTGCCATATTTTATCTTTCTGCGATACATATTGCGATATGAAAAAGTTTCACATAATTGTCCAACCGAAAATGCAATTGCAAAGAAATGCTCTTCTTATTTTGCTGTCTCGTTTCTAGTTCAAATATTAAAAAATTCTTAAATCAAGTAAAATGTTGTTTTGTTCTTCAGAAAGTCAAAATTAAGAGTTTTTTTTTTTCTCAAAACAAGCTAAATGATCTGCCAGTGGGGTGAGTAAAATAATCTTGTTTTCGCTTTGAATGTAGGTATGTGGACTAGAAATTTTAAATAAGAATTACTTGATTACAAAAAGTGGTTTTGCATAAAACTTATAAATTCAGTATAAATAAAGTAATTAAATACAATTATGTGACTCCTTCAGACTCAGCATTGCTATGCACACATTGCAATATCGTTGCTGAAATTATAAATTGTGCAGCCGTACTATTTATTAGGCACAAACAGAAAGAACTAAATCATTCTTCTGACTTTTATTCTCAAATGTTAGTCAGTATTCAGTACTTGAGTAAATAATTCCTCAAGTAATTGTACTGTAAAAAAAAAGTCTTTACAATTTTAGTAAAACCGCAAATTTTTTAATTTATGAAAAATATTAATAACACACTAAAGAGCTTACACAAGCTGGTGGATACAAAAAAAAAAAGATGTTATCCAGCATTATTTCAATTACTAAGAGTAATGCCTGCAGTTCTGTACTGTAGAAAATGGGAGCAGTTCTAAGATATAGACACCAGATGGCAGCAAGACCAAAGCTTTGTTTTGAAAATCCTCTGCTCTGTCCGAAGATGAAGGTACCAGGGCTCACTTATGATATCCACCTTGATTAGAACTGTGTAACACAGCCTAATTGATCATCAATAAAATCTACCATGATTCAAACATCTATTAAACTCTGGTGCATTTTAAGATCTGCACCACTTTTGCACTATTTCAGTACAAATTCCCACATTGTGTGTAGCTTACTGTCCTACTTATAAAAACAACAAAACTAAATGTTGTGAAATGTCACAAGCTCTTTTCAAAATAATTGCTTTTTTGGGAAAACAAGCTTCCTTTTATGTAATTTTGGTAAATTTGTCATTTTTATTATAGTGAATTAGGGGGTGGCACAGTGGGTAGAGCTGTTTGCCTCACAACAAAAAAGTGGCTTTGAGCCCTGGCTGGGACAGTTGGCATTTCTGTGTGGAGTTTACATGTTCTCCCCTTGTTTGCATGGGTTTCCCCTGAGAGCTTCGGTTTTCCTTTCAAGTCCAAAGACATGCCCTAGGTCAATTGGGTGAGCCATTGTCCGTAGTGTATGTCCTGGTCCTCTAGGTAGGGGTTGACTGTTGGGCTAACAACGCACCTTGTAAAAATTTGATGTTACGAAACACCAACATGGCCCTGGAAGTAAGTATTATAGTAAATTACATTGTTCAACAAACTATTCTGCCTACAAAAAGGATGTAAAAAGAATTTTAATGAAATGGCCATAGTGAATTGACATTAAGATTTCGTCATTTATTGATTTAGTCATTCTGATCACCAGAGGACAATGCTAACACGTTGAGTCTGCTCTCTTTTGAACACTTCTGGAAATGTTTACATTTAGTTTAAAGCCAAATAAAAAAAAGAACATTCTCTTATCAGTCCTAATTCAAACACACATCTACAGTGTTCAGCATAATTTACAATCTATATTGTCTCATTTTGCATTAATTTTAAATTGTCATGCGCAATTTAATTGAAAGATCAGGAAAAGCCCATACATACTCCCATCCATAGACCCCTCAGTCAAAAAAGATCAGGAAAGTGGACAAGAGTCATATTAAAACACCATATGAAGCATGGGGATGTGTCTCCATTGTCTACTTGTCATCTGATTAACTCAAAAGGATCTTAATACAAGTGTAAACAGGGCTAAAGCAATTTTAATGTCCAGATCCAACCACATGGCACAAATATTAGCGTTTTCTGGATGTAAAAAGTCATAAATTGCTCTCTTAAAATTTCCCCCTGACTTGCCTGCTTTTTAAAGTTTTTATACTCACTTGTAAAAGTTTGTCCATCCAGTCTCATCCGACTTAGAGGCTAGAAGTTCTGTGTTAGCATCATAACTGAGCTGTGCCACCTCCTGGCTGAGGGCGGACACTGAACGTAGGTTGCCGGCTGGGTCCATTCCCAGTGTTACCACCTGGTTCTCTGGCAGTAGCACCAGCCTGATCGAGCCAGACGCCTCTCTCCGCACCCGAAGTGTGTTGTTAGAGGCATCGGTAACAGCCGCCAACTCCCCGTCCAACCCATAGGTAAAGTTATACAGGGGCAAGCCTGTAATGAGGCTAATCGTTTGCCTGTGAAGGCCGTCAGCACTAAAAACATACAGTTCCTGTTCCAGAGATGAACCCACTTCATATTGTCCACTTGCTGTGGCATTGGGACGGTTTCCTCGGACTGAACGGACACGGATATTGTTGAGGTCAGCGATGTACAGGGTGCCATCAGGTGACACGGCCAGTGAAGTGGGACAATTGAGAAAGGCGTCAGCAGCATAGCCTTCATCTCCTGAAAAGCAGTTGCAGTTGACATCATTCTTGCAGTCGCATTCGGAAGTGGCACCAGCTACAAGGGAGATCTCGCCACTGGTGCTAACCTGCCGGATGCGGTTGATCCGCTTCTCATCTGTCTCAGCAATGTAGAGCACACCTGTGTGGGAGATGGCGATAGCTGTGGCGCTCTCCAACGCAGAATGGATTGCAAGTTTGCTGAGCGAGTAATCAATGCCAGGAACCTGGCAGTGCATGGGCCGTCCCGCAATAATGCTGACCTGGTGGTTCTCGGAGATGCGCAGGATGACGTTGTTCTCCAGCACATACAGAGAGTTGTCCATTGGGTTGATGGCCAGGTCTGTGGGCCACTCCAGACGTACCTAAAACATTAAAAGTATATATTTTTAGCTTTGTCTAGCTTTGGTTTTGTGTAAATCCATTTATCAAGACCATTGCTGAGCATCTTCTTTTTAAAACTACAGTGTAGTCTCAAAAATACCCCTTGAAACCACAGATTTCCTACGGACACAAACATGTAACCCAAGGGTGTCCAAACTCAGTCCTTGAGAGCCGGTGTCCTACAAAGTTTAGTTCCAACCCCAAGTAAACACACCTGAACCGGCTAATCAAGCTCTTTCAAGGTATACTAGAAACTTCCAGGCAGGTGTGTTTAAGGAAGTTAGGTAAACTATGCAGGACATCGGCCCTCCAGGACTGTGTTTGGACTCTTCTGATGTAATCAATCCCATCAACTGGCTTTTCAAATAATCTCCATTGTGATTTAGTATTTTCAATGGCTAATGGGAGCATGGCTTGTGTAATATTAACAACACATTACCAGTTGTTTCATAACACAGTAAAAAGTCTTATAAAATCAATTAGTAAAAGTCTTAACTCAATTACAGTGCCTCTCAGATGTAGAAAGTGATGCATAAAATGCTTTACACTACTGATATAATGAGTAGTACATGACCATGAAAATTGCTGTTTCATTTTTTCTGAATCTTCTTTTGTTTCTGGTTCAAGCATATGGCTGAATTAATAGCTTCATAGATCCATGCATATTAATATAGTAAAAGTTTAGTTATTCTAAATACAAGAAAAGGTTACACTTTATTTTGGTCAGTTTGCTGAATTTTAGTTGCATTCAACAATCACATGCCAATTACATCTACATTAACATGCCAACTAATTCTTATTAGATTTTAAGTATACTGTTCGTTTAGGGTTAGGGTTAGTGTAAGTTGACATGTACTTGCAAAGTTTTGCAAGTTAAATGTCTGAAGGAGCAGTATCAACAGATATTAAGCAGGCAGTCTAATAATACTCAAATGGACCATCAAAATACAGTGTTACCCAAGAAAAAATGGGGGCCACTTTGCAGTGGCTTTGTGCACTACTAAAATAAAATCTCATCTGCTTGCACAATATATTTAAAATCAGCTATAAAATAATGGACTGAATTGCCACAAATGTTGTTCTTTACTCTCCACATGACTCATTACTTTAACATTCTTAATAACACATCTATTCCAGGCTGGTACAGCCTATGTGCATGCATATGCATTTCAATGTAAGAGTTACATGTTTCATCAGGACCTGGAGCTTTTAATGGCAAATAAAGTAGCACAATGAATCCCAATTCATGTATACTTATGCACTATTCTGTTCTATTGAAAGGATAGTTAACCCCAAAATGAAAATTTACCCAATATTTATGAGGAGTCAAACCTTAATGAGTTTCTTCTTCTGTTGAACTCTAAATAAATTATTTTGAATAAAGCTGAACACTGTAACCACCAACTTTCAGATTGCTTTTTCAAAACAGAAACAGAATTTCCAGTTTTTCGTAAACTAAATTGTGCCTGTAGTGTGGCTATTTATTTGATTCATTTCATGATTATTTAACAAAATAAATAAGAAATAAAAATCAAAAATAAAGTTGGACACTTCCATGAACTTCAGCTTTAATTACACAGAGTAGAGAAGAGAGGGGCTTCAGGTATCAGTGGTGTAGGACAAAATTATATTATATGGTTCATACACCAGAGAGCTGAGTGCATAGTGTGTAATTGCATAATGTATAGTGGGCCATTTATGATTTGTAAAAGCATAAACAAATAATTTATATGCAAAAAAGGTCACACTTTATTTTGATGATCAGTTTGTTGAATTTAAAGGGCACCTAGGTTACTCCTTTTTTCAGATTCAATATAAGTGTTTTGCATCTCTAGAATGTGTCTGTAAAGTTTCAGCTCAAAACACCCATCAGATTTTTTATTATACCTTTTACAAGATTCTATTTTATACATTTTTGCACCAGGGGGTGGTTTTGTTGTACTGCGCCTTTAAGGCTAGTCCTCCGCCTACCGTTTCTATGTGCCTTTCTGCGTGCCTTAATCTCCTCCTCGGCTGCGTCAGACAACAGACAGGCTTAAAGGAAGATGATCTCACGTAGCATTTGTGAGAAATACTACATTAAGAACTTTAACAATGAGCACACAAAGTTGTTACAAATTTCACGCGCACACACACAAATATGTGCGCACACATACAGAAACACACACATAGCAGCAGACACACACGCACACAGACAGACAGAGCGCATGTTTAGCTTTTCACCCTTTTCGCACAATTATGTGACAGGACACAGGTTAATCTCCACTGCTGTATGGATATCTGTTATGTTATTGTACAAAATAAACCGGATTTAACGTCCACAAACCGGGATTGAAGCGTCTTTCTTTATAATTGTTCTGACAAGCAGCTGTGCTGATGAAGTAAAGCTGAAGTAAATCGCTATACTTCATTACACACGTGCACTGTTTTAAAACATTTTAAACACGTGAAACTTACTCTTGATCACATTTGATGATCCTAGCAAACTGAACAGACCTTTTATTCCCGGTTGCTTTCAGCATGTCTGGTCTTGTTGGTATGATTATACAAGTGACTACCGGGACATGTTAATAAGCGCAACTGTCAATCAATTTGGTGGGCGAGGGGACCGCACTCCTACGTCAAGTTGCGGTCGATCTGAAAACCGCTCTAATTTATCCACCGTTTTTATGTTTTTAAATTGAAAAAAAAAAGGTCTGGATGTGTTTATTTCACCTCAATATGATGGTCTATACGCTATATCTACACATATGTCTGTCAAAACAGCTTGAAAAGTAGATTTTTCACCACAGATGCCCTTTAAGTTACATTTCATCAACATGGCAGCTAATACTCATTAGATTATAAGTAGACTGTTAGGTTGGGGTTAGTGTCAGTTGACATGTACTTGCAAAGTCTTAAGTCTTATAATCAGTTAAATGTCTGAAGGAGCAGTATCAACAGATATTAAGCAGACAGTCTACTAATGCTTGAATGGACCATCAAAATAAAGTGTTACCGCAAATAAATACTTAAATGATTTTCAAAAATAAGTTTTAAGGAATGAAATCGACTTCAAAATCAAAGGGTACATTTAGCACAAAAAGTCTATTAAATATAGATGTGGAGCAGCTTTGGATGTGAGTGTAAATTCAAATTTAAATTTTATTTAACAATGCTCCTGCGGTTCTGCTTAAATTTCTTGTTTCTGACAGTGGACTGCATAAAAGCATTTTCAAAAATGTATTTTGTTTCCAGATTCCTCCAGTGGAATCTGGATATTCTGTTTCCAGAATCACAGTGTTAGACAAATGATGACAGTGCCTTGACTGATAATTTAGTTCCATTGTTAGTCACTGTCAATGTCAAAGAGACCCAGAGAGACATTCTGACAAGCAAATATTGGCTAGCGCTAGCTTAAAGATGAAACATAAAGAACAAAGCATTGCACAATTCAAACTAAAATGGTAGACTCTAAATGCTTCATGTAGACTGTCACATCTTTAAATAAATTTAAAGTCACTTAAATAGTTTAACAGGTTTTACTGTACACTTTATTTATATTGCACTATTAAATGCTTTAACAAATCACACAGTGTAAATTAATGTAAATTATACCCGCTCTTTTAAACTTAAAATGCTCTTATACACAATTTCTTCCATTGAAATTTAATAAACTTAAAACAAAACAATGTTAGTTAAAGGGTTTGTACGCAAATGCAATATTTTCCCTGTCTTAGCTGCATTACTAACCAAAACAAATGGATAATAAAGCTCCATATTAATTTTGACCTAATGATGCGGATGCTAAATACTATGGCCTAAGAATATAATGGATTTGAGATATGCACAATAGCCCTGATTTCAACATCAGTTCTTATTTCAGCAGGCTGGAGCATCTTTTATGGACCAGGAGCTTAAGTAGAAGTGCGAGAGAGTTGAGGAAGGAAATAATAACCTGGCTGACGTCCATGCTGGAGTCACAGCTGAGAGGTCTGACTGCAGTCAGGTCATTGGTCTTTATCAGAGTGGAGATAATGCCATTCTGATCCACTTTGCGTATCATTGTAGCATCCACAAAGTACATCAGGCCGTTCTTATCCAGTGCGACTCCTGCAAGAAAGAGCCGACAGTGAATAAAAACTCAATACTCATGCATGACAGAACTTATATAAGATATTTTAAAATAGTATTCCAAAAATGTAGAAAACATTCACCTGGTCGCAAGAGGAAGGACAGTTTAAATGTAATAATTATAAAGGAGGATCAAAACAGTTGAATAATCATGCTAATTTTCTTTTTAAACCAGTGAAGAGGCTATATATGGTTCATATAATAAGAAGTGACAGCCGGTTCACCCACTCACATCAAATAATGCTTATTTTTATTTTTTGAGAAGGAAGAAAAATCTAGGAGTGTAAAGAATCTTTGTGCTGAAGTTGTCAATCTGAGGAATTAATCCATCGATGGAAAACCAACGACAATTCGTAACGTTTTAATTCAGTGTCTTATTTGTATGAACTCGTATAATCTCATTCCTACAATTTAGTACAATTTGCTCTTCCACCAATGACAGCTGAGTTTAGGGGTGGGATTGGGTGATACGTATACTTTTTAAAATCGTAAATTTTCATATGACTGAAGTAGTCATGAGCGGGTATAAGATTCTGACTGTATGATAAGCTTGGATAAAAATAAAACGGTTTCACAGTATCACAGATTGTAACTGCTCTAAAAAATATTCTTTTTAAATATCTGGGTTAAAAACAAAAACTTTTTTCCCCTTTGAACACAATTTATTTTATTTTGAGAAACATTTAAAATATTTTGAAAGAATAAACATGTTAGGCTAAATAAATTATAAATTAATTATTGACTTCTGCTGTCTTTATTTAAAAAACAGATTTTTTTTAGAGTTTAAAACAGCATCTTTAGATGTATTTTCTGCTGCAGATACTGTTGTCCAAAAAACATAAAAAAAAAAAAGTAAATAAAAAAATCGTACACATACCTTAGGAATGGTATTGCGGTATTAACGGTATTAATTTTTGACTATTTTAAAACCTTGAACTTTTCAAACTGTGTTGTATCTTGAAAACGGTTACGACTCATGCATAAACTGAACTTGTACGATTTAGCACTGACAAAACATAAAATAGTTCCATTTCCTCATGAGACCAGGCTGAGACAACAGTGTCTGACTGATCACTACAGATCATCTACACTCATCATACCCTCAGTCTACCTGGTTTCTGCTGGTTGAACTTACTAACACTTTCATATGAAAGTACTACATCATCATTATTGCATTGTAATCTCTAGATCTACCGCATGTGTCGTCATAAAATTCGGTGTTTGAGCTTGTATGAATCAAGAACACTTGCACTAAATAAATGTCATCTAAATAAATATACTAATGCTTCGGCAAGCTGCAAAATCAAAATATAACTTGTCTATACACATTTGATATTGTTCTGCACAACTGTGATACAGTTCCTTGACCCCATTTAAGACAGAATTACATGATACAATTGTTTTCATTATGTTGTTCAGTCTCGCAAACTTAGAAATCATAATTTGCTTGAACTTATAACATTTAAGAGGTCATTATACATAATAAGAAAAGTAGAGTTAAATGTAGAAAGGCCAACAGAGATCTACACAGAAACAAATTATAAGAAATCAAGATTATGTGCAGAGTCAAGTCTTTGCATTGATTTTCTTCTGATCTGAACATTAGGAAACAGTGAAAAAATGTATTTTTAGTGAAGGTCCAGGCTACGTTAGAAGGACGAAATTGGCATTTCGTTTAATAAATTTTTCCATGGATTTGTTTACAAACTAGACACAATTTGATGCTGGATTTTCAGAAAGATTGAAAGTTAGACAATGGTCTACTGCCTGTATTAGATTTGGTATTGGAATAGGATCAAAGCTGCCGCACAATACAAGTATAAATAACTGTTTTTATGACATGTTCATTATAATTGTTTTGTTTATTGTTATTTGATATGTACTGTGTATTTATAGGCTTTAACATATGACTAAAAATCTATTAGTCTGTGAAGGATGTTTGTATCAAACAAACATGCAGATGTCTGCAGAGGTCCAGCTGTATGTTCAAACATTTGTTATTTTTTAAATATTGCATGCAAAATCGTTAATCAATCATACCAGTTGGTAGGGCTGCACCATATTGGAAAAATGTGATATTGCGGTGTTTTATTTTTTTGCGATTACATATTGCTATATGAATACATTTTCACAGAAACTGAATAATCACAACGAGACAATTTGTCTTATTTGTAGTCCAAATATCAGCAAATTCAAGTTCATCAAGGGTCCATTCTTTGTACGTGGATTACTCAATTAGCTGGATTTGGTTATTGACAATTTGACACAATCCAGGATCGTTTATTCTTCAAAACTCATCAGAGAGATGGTGTCATAGCAACAGTTCTGGTAGCTTAAACCTGCTCGAGAGCAGGCTTATTTCATATATTAACAGGATTAGATAGGTCTTTTTAAGCAAAGGTAATATTTAAAGTATGTAGCGAATGTTGATATTTTCTTACAGTAGTAGTAATATGCACTTGGGAAAATAGTAAAATAGTTGTATAAATAAAACCTATGCAATCTACACTCCTACACTTTACTATTTTAAGGTACCAGATATTGTACAATCTGTGTATGATAATAAACATGCACAATATTCGACTTTTTAAATTTTTTTTTAAGGAATAATAATTTATGCTGTCATGCGCGTTTAGACAGCTAATATGCAGGTGATTTGATGCTTTGCAATAGTTGTAGACTGAAATCAAACTGATATCAAACTTTACTGATATCCAAATGCTTTTTTTTTGTAAAATATATTCACTACTTTTTTTTCAATTTGCATATCGCAACAGATTACACAATTACAGAATAATAATCATGTAGGCACAGCAAACTTTTTACCCCCTATTCTCCCTCCCAACAACCCATACCCTTAAAAAGAAAAATAATAAAAAATAAAAATAAATAAATAAATAAATAAAAAATAAAAATAGATAAACAAATAAATTTTGATGCAAAATTATTTTAGCAGCACACAACAAAGGTGGAACTTTATTGTGTATCATATTGTACAAACAGTTAACTACAAATTTTATATAACTTTGCTCATATAGATAATTGAATAATAATCTGATGATGTCATTACGCTGCTGTCCCGTCAGCCAATCGTTGGATTGCTGTTCATGATTTCAAGGATTACTAGATTTGTCCTTCAAAAAATGTGCAGCAATCTCAGATCAGTTCATCCAGACATTTTAATCTGATTCGCAAACTTGTTTGAAGAACCAAGTTAGCCAGAGATCAGTTATCAAGATTAAAAGATCCAGGATCTGCCCAATCATCTTCCATCATTTAAGCGAGGTACAAAGAACTGACCCCAAGTAATATTATTGTTCTGTAGCTCCTAGTCAACTATTGTCCAGCAAACTAATTCAGACTCAACAGTGCATATCTTGCAATGTGACTATTGCAGATAGCCCACTGTGAAATTGATGCTGAAATTATATGTGCAGCTCTACCAGTCGGTTTACTACTTATCTACAAACTCTCAACCCTATATAAATGTTGTTCTGATGAGGATGAAACAGACAAATCGTCCATTACCTTTAAATTAGGATGATATTTGATGTAAATACCTTGATAACACCATAGGTTGACATTAGAGAATACTACGAAAAAAGGGAAGTTCGTGACCTTTTAATTTCTTGTCTATAAATCACTGCTGACTCCCTGAAAGAATTTCACTGCTTCCCAAGCATCTGATTTAGTTGCCTCCCTCTCCAACAATCCCAGGAGAAAATGTGTTTTTAAAGGCAAAATAATTAGTAGTCTGTGTGTGTAGGAGCAATGACCTGGAAAAGAGTTAGGCGCTGCTCTGCTCGACTGCTACAGTTTGATTCCTGCTGTCATGGTGATCATGTCAGAGTGTGTTTTATTCTGAGATAAGAAGGCCGAGTCGCTCTCTGAGTGCAGTCTGCTAACCTCCCCGTCTCTCTTTACTTTCTGTGTCATTTATTTTCCTCACATCAGAGGGCCATACTGGGCTTTAAGAATGACGTCTGGAGTCTGGAGAATCACAGGTTACTGAGGTTTGTGATAGCGTACAAAATGACAACCCCGGTAACTGTCTACGGGATTAAATAGTAACGGTTTCTCGCTTCATGGGAAATAAAGGTGTCACAGTGTGGAAATGCCCGTTTGTCTTGTGTTAAAGCTAACTTTAGTCTTTGATGTAATATAGAGCTGCAAAATTAATTGTTAAAATTGAAGTTGTCTAGGTTCTAGTGCAAATATCTACAAATTATTAATTCAAGAAGCATTTTCTAGACAAGCATAAAATTGTCTTGTGTTCAGAAATAATGAGTAAACATTAGAGACTTTTCATTTAAAACAAGAAAAATGATCTGCCACTGGGATAAGCAAAATGATCTTATTCAACGTGGAAACGATTATTTTGAAAAAAAAAAAAAAAAAACTCTTTCCGTTAAACAGAAATTGGAGGGGATAATAATAATTTTGACTTCACTTCAACTGTATATATACAATTATTTTCCTCCCTGTAAATAAGGAAAGGGAAATAAATACAAAAGAATAAAAATCTTAAACAAACTGCAGTGTTTTCTCCAGAATTTTTTCCAGCTGTGGCGGCAGGTCTTTTACACAAATCTACCAACTACCAATGGGGTTATTTCAATGACGAATGGAGAAATGATGTGAGTGCAGTATTACAAGTTGAGATCATAGTTATGTAATACGAGCATGCGAATCTCTTTGCATGCTTGCCGATTTTCTCTTCACAAAACTTCTTGCACGCCCTCAAATATTCGCTGTTCAAGTGCAGATCTTCCTGTGTGTTTTCAAATAAACTCTGCTGAAGTGCGATTTAGTGCGTTTATGTAACAAGTATGTTTCCAACATTAATTCAATTTGCTAGAAATATTTATGAATGTCTCCAGTAGACCTACAGAGTGGCATTGATGCACCCTGAAGTGAAACGGCTATAAACTCAAAATAAGCAAAATAACGTCATTGTACGCAGAACCTTAGACTTTTATCTATAAATAAATGAAAATTATGGAAACTGTGTTCATCTTAACTAAAAGCTACGTCGTGTTTGCTGGCTTCACGCATCACGCACCTGTCAGTCAGTCAGACTGTCTGTCAGCACGTAACCTTAAAGGGTTAAATAAATAGCGCACAGCACTATACGGTTACAAAAAAGTTTTAATGCGCTGTAATAATTCACTTACCTATTAATGCATTTTAATGCGATTTATAACCCGCTATTAAAAAACCAACAACAAGAATGACTGAATGTTTTGAATGAGAAGCTGTAATGTAGCCAATGCGGGATAAATTTTGGTGTGGCGCCCCACCATGGCAGAATTAATGTATTGGAAATAATGAAACTGCTTTAAGCATCTTCACTGTTTGTAAAAAAAAAAAAAAATAATTATAGCTACAAAAGTTTTTCAGTCAATAGCAGTGAGTGATTTTGTCCTTTTGATTGACTAACGGCAGCAGGAATATTGCACGCTGTCCCTTTAGGAGCAGAACGGTTCTAATTTATGGTTTCACTTTCACGTCTTTTGATTCTCAACTTGTTTTTTATTACAAAATGAGAGTTAATATGGACAATTACTGAACACAGCGTTTTGAGAGCATACACAACAGTATGCAAACTCTTTCGTGCTTTTAAAAACATGAATGATTTGATTGTAGATTTACAAATGATGCGCATCCCATGCTGCATTACAGAACATGCTTTTAGTCATTTTCACTTGAAACTGAGCTTTGCAGAGCAACAAATGTGTGCGACTGGAAAGGGGTGGTATATGATGCAATAATCTTTTTATATTGATTAATACTTTTTTATAATCGTTTAAAGCCAAAATTTAAATTGAAACAGAATTTTGATTAATTGCACAGCACTATTGTACTGTAGTGAACACTGCTCAATAGACCACCACTCAGTAGAAATGGCCATTATATAATAAAAGTTTTCTAAAAGTTAAATTACAACAAATACCATTGTGTTATTGTTGTTATTTTGCTCAGTTGTCTATTCAGAACTGTGATCTACATGTCAAGGGATTTACGGTGGAAACTATATGAAACCTTTTGCTAAAGCCTGGCACAAAAACATTTTCTTTTTAAGGTTAGTGTATTTATTGTGCAAGTCCCTGTCAAATAAACTAGTAAAAAAATATATAATAACAGTTATTCCTTCATTTTAAACAAAACATTTATGTTTCTCAGTTCATCCAGAATAAAGCAGCTCTATAGTATATCATTTGCACCGAATCCAATGCATAGAATGAGAAGAAAGTCTTATTGCTTAAAAAATTGCATCACCTCTCGGGCTCATTAGTGTGGCTTCCAACGCCTTGCCTCCATCTCCACAACGAGCCTCATCGAACGGGACGCACTGCTCCCCGGTCCCTGCCACAACCTGAGCATTATCCAGCAAGGGCCGGGCCCCGTTTAGAGAGCGAACCCGGTAGATCTGCCGAGAGTTAGTGTCTGACAGGAACAGAGAGCCTGACATTGGATCCACCGCCAGGTAGTACTTATGGCTTGGACTGTTGCTATGGAAATAGGGCAAATGAGAGAAATGTCTCTTAATAAAATCCTCTGACAAACAGCACGGTTACCTTGGTGAACATGATTAAATGTGAACAGTTCAATGCTGGTAAAGTAATTGGAGCTCAAAAAAGAAACCACTTCGATATAAAAGAAAAGTGGAATTCTGGTACATTAAGTGAGCTGTAGAAAACATGCAGAGAAGAAAAAGTACAGTGAAAATAGCACATGCTAAGGGTGCACACAGGAATATTTTTACATTATTTTTTTGAATTACCTGTGTCTCAAATCCTTGTTTCTTCATAAAAGCAGGAAAACAGGAGAGAAACAAAGACATCAGTTAAAAATCTATATACATACTTTTTGATATTAATATACTAAAATAATTGTATTTACTTTCCCAATAAAAGTCTGCATTTATAAATACACGGTCATCCCAAATATTTTTATTTTTATACTTGATTGTTTTTCCCCCACTAAACTAAAGCCCAAATCCCAATTCTACCCCTTAGCCCTTCAGCTTATAATGTGAATGCACAAAACGAGGGGTAGGAGTGTCCCAAATCTCTTTATCTTGAAGGTTAGGGCTAGGGTTAGGGTTAGGGCGTAGGGGAGGGCAGGGGTGCTCAACCCTGTTCCTGGAGATCTACTTTCCAACAGATTTCATTTACAAAACATTTCAAACACACCTGCCTGTAGTTATTAAGTGCTGTTCAGGTCCTAATTATTTGGTTCAGGTGTGTTTGATCAGGGTTGGAGCAGAACTCTGTAGGAAGGTAGATCCCCAGGGATAGGGTTGAACACCACTGGCTTAGTGGAAGGGCTAGATACCCCTTGAAACAAACTTTTCAGGACCATACTCGAAACCAAGGGTTACGAAAGTTTCCTAGAATACACCATCTACATTGGCTGCACATGGAAAATTTGCATCTATAATGCATAATAATAACTCCTGTATAGCAGTCTCACAACATTTTGTCACTTGATGACACTCGAATTCCCTGTCAGAAAAGTCTAGTGGCTGGAAATGAGCTTTTTACAGTGTCTGCTATACAGTTAATGTTGTTTTTGTGTGTTTACATAGATGAATATGGCCAGGGTGTAAATGCACAGTACAGTTACAATCTTTTTGCCACTTTATATTATCATGATAGCATGATATCGTTGCCTTCAGTGATTTCCTGAAGATAAATACTAAAAAATAATGCAACTCGAATAACTACAGCAGTCATGATCGTTGATCTCGTATGTAAGAGATTGCAATGATATTTGATGGCATGTGCAGGTGCTGTAGTGCTGTCCCATTTCTTAGGGGTAAATTTTGAAGCCCTAACCCTTCACACTCTGTTTCAAGGGCCAAGGGGAAGGGGAAGAGGTAGGGGTACAAAAATAGAATTCTGATTGGAATTGTTATTCATTAGAGCTGTGCGATTAATTGAATCACAATCACAATTTAAATCGTTTTGAATAGTTAAATCGCAAGAGGCTGCGATATGAAATATATATGTATTATCTAATTTCCCCCACCCAGAGCAAATGTGTGACTGTCTGTGTGTGTGATAGTCTTACTAGCCAATTGAAAGGGCACACTTTTGTACTACCCAATCAGAATTGTACAACTGAACTATGCGGAACGCCCACTATAAAAAAAAGAAGAAGAAGAAAACAAACAAGAAAGTGCAGACAAGTGGGATGATGGCGTCTGCTTAATATCAAAGAGAAACAGCAATGGATAATATGGGAATATTTTGTTTTCAAAGTCATAGACACCATAAAAAACAGGTCATTTTGAATAGCGGTCCCAGAATTGTTGCCACGACTTGCAGATTATTAAGCTGAAGCTTTACTAAAAAATTAAAATGGCAAATCAAATTGCAATTGCAATATCTGTCAAAAATTCATTTTTTTTTTAAATGGCAGTTTTTATTTTTATCCATTCCTCAGTAAATATAGGCAATATATTTTGGTATATTTAAACAAAACAGATTTATTAAACAGATATATTTAATAAAATATTATTTTAGTTATTTTAGTCAACAAACATATTTAGAAATATTTAGAAACATTTTAATTTAAGCAAAATATAGAAATACAAATTACAAGAAACTAAATTTCAACTAAATTTTTCAATTTTTGCGTCTCTTGATTTTTCCTCTTTCATACATTTGTATTTAACATTTTTCTATAACATAGGTTTGGGTGTCCTGGTTTTTGAACCGTTATCATAAGTTTTTTTTATAGATAAGCTCCAGATTTGGCTTCAGCACTGACTAATCTAATGTATGTGCACAAACATAATATTAAAGAGCTTCTTATTAAAAATATTCATTTAAAAGATAGATTTGTGAGGGGTGTACTTGTATATGCTGAGCACTGTATATATTCATTCATTCTTTTTCTTTTCAGCTTAGTCCCTTTATTAATCGGGGGTCGCCACAGCAGAATGAACCTTCAAATTATCCAGCATATTTTGTACGCAGCGCATGCCGTTCCAGCTCCAACCCATCACTGGGAAACATCCACACTCACTCATTCTTGCACATATAAGGACAATTTAGCCTACTTAATTAACCTGTAACGCATGCCATATGAACGGGATAGAATCAAAGTATACAGTTATTTTATAGAAAACAGTCAGTTTTTAAAATAAGACATTGTAATTGTTGGTACAAAAAAATAAATCTGTAGTTATTGAGTTAATTTTTTAAGCTCGGGTTGTAAGGTTGTTGTAGTCTTGGCAAAATAACATGTTTTATTTATTTTAAACTTGTGTGTTATAAGCGACTTGCATGTTTATTCTATCATTGTTCTAATGTAGGCTTTCCAATGCGATACTGGAAATTTGGCTTTGCGATTCATTTTAATAACTTTATAATACACTAAAATAAATATTGCAAATTCTTATACAATTTCCCAATATTACTTTTTTTCCCTCTATTTTTGGACAAAATATGTGTTGTTCATTCTATTCACTGTATTCTTAAAGTTTTTTAAGTATGCAATATGATTTTTTATTGTTGATCGTTAAGGCCTTTCTTCTTAGTGAAACTTAAATAAAATCATGCATTTTTTTTTTTTTATTTGGATTTGAATAGCAGAATCTCATTATTTAAAAGCTGTACTCTGTAATATGTTTGATCAGTATCTCTCAACCACGTTCCTGAAGGACCACCAGCACTGCATGTTTTGGATGTCTCCTTTCTCTGTCACCAGCAATGCATGTTTTGGATGTCTCCTTTCTCTATCACACACATTACAGGTCTTTCAGTCTCTGCTAATGAGCTGATGATCTGAATCAGGTGTGTTTGGTTATGGCGACCAGGAAAATGTGTGGGAATGTGGTTAAGAAACACTGTTTTAGATTACAGAAAATGCATCATACTTTATAAGCGGATCCCACCAGTTTTACCTGAGCTCCAGTACAGCTGTGGTATTGAGAGAGGGATACACTCTCCGCACAAAGTTAAGGTCACCCACATACAGGTTGCCGTCTCCATCACAGGCTACAGCCATCGGTGCCAGCAGCTTGTTGCCCTCTGCCATCCCACTGCAGCTTGGGCATGAGATGCTGCGTCTACGGCCATTACCCATAATGCTGTTGATGATGGGCGGCTGTTGCTGAGAGAGAAAGATGTTTTCACCGCTGCCCTTATGAAGGATTCCTGTGTGAAATAAATCAAACACTGTCACCAAACGCAATTGAGTGAGATTTCAAACATGACATATTTCTAATGGTCTTTACACGCACAAATGTGATGCTTAAATTAAAGCATCAATTTCTACGCTGTGACATATTTATTGCATTTCCTGATCAATAGCGTGAAACCAGCAGTCATTAAAGACCTCATAATCATCAATAACAACCAAAAAAAAATGAGCTGGTCCCTCAAACACACCGAATTTTACCCTAATACTGTGATAAAATTATAAGCAATGATGAATGTGCGTGAAATGAGCAACATTAAGCAGGAAGCGTGTGTTATTTTATAGTCCACTGGCATGCTCTTCATCTCTGCGTCCTTATTTGACTTCCCACTAGATGAGCTCCAATCACAATAAATACTTTTTTCCCTTTCTTTCTTTTAAAACAAATCTTTTGAAGGAAGGATTCAAACCTTTGGAAGGCTAAACTTGGTTGTTGTAACAGCCTGAAGATAAACAGGTGTTGGAAACCACACAGTAACCTCTAAACTATAATGGTGCTTAAAACCAACACATTTCTCACAGTATGAGTCAGTAAAAGACTTTTCTTTTCTTTTCTTTTCCGGCTGCAGGTGTCTGTAGATGATGTTTTTTTGTTATCAAATGTATTTCACAAAAACAATGTGTTTTAAAGAGCCCCTATTATGGGTTTTTGAAAATGACTTTCAATGCAGTATGTAACAGCTCTAAGGCCCCGTTTACACTGTCAGGTCTTGATGCCCAATTCTGATTTGTTGCCTATATCTGATTTTCTTTGTCTGTCCGTATACACCTTCTTTTTAATTGTGACCCATATCCAATTCATGTGTTTACACTTGCCATACAATTAACGATGTCGCGCATGCATAAAGGCGTGTTCTAGCATCTGTGCCACACTAGCCAGTAGCCACGATGGAAGAAATTGTCTTGTTTTTAGATCTGCGGAATATCCAAAGTGTAGTATAAGCAGTGAATGGTTGAGTCCAGATTTACCCCACGCAGTTTATGTAATAGTATGGCCCTGATGTGTGTGTGCGTGTGTAGTTGGAAGATGTAGCTTTTGCCTGTATGCGCACTGGTGTTGGAGAGAATAAAGTTGTTCTATGTTTTAGCCCGCAGTGCGTGTATTAATAGCGACAAAAAGCAAATTTTACAACACTAAGTTTGCCCAACTTAAAAAATGATTTTGAGGTGGAGGAGGTGGGAAAGGGCCGTCATCGCAGCTTGCGCTTATGGTTTATATGCTTTATGATGTCCTCCACCATTCAGAGGAATTTGTGGGTACGAGAGAGATCTCATGTCTGGTGGGAGCAAATTGTGGCGACTGACCACTTTCCTCCTCCGTGTTTCCTCTGTTGTTGTTGTTAACCGCATTGGTATATCCGCACGCTTTTCCTTCTACGTCATTAAACCGCGGAGAAGCACCACATTGTCGCAAGTTTAATGATGTACAGAATGGAATGTCTCAATAAATCCGATCTGCCTGTTTACATGACAGTCGCATTGTCACATATCCGATCTATATCTGATTTCTTACCACATATGAAGGAGGCCTAAACTGATCTCTGAATATCCGAATGCATGCTTTTTTTTCGTGTTTACACAGCCATAGAAAAGATCAGATCAGTGTCACATACGAGCAAAAACAGGGCCTAAGTGAAGTAAAATATCTAGCTTAAATAAGGCTTAAATCTAAATATGCACTGGTTTAAAACTGTTGATTCATTTATAAAATAGTCGACTGTTTAAAATAGTCAATTGTTTATATTTGTGTTTATATTTATATCATAGTGTTTATTATTGATTAATAACAAAAAAGTCTGCAGCAGCAGGAATATCGTACACTGTCACTTTAAGAATAGTGCGGCTGTAATATGGTTTCTCTTTCACGTGTCTTTTGATTCTCAACTTGTTTGTTTATAAAACAAATGAGGGTTAATATGAATAATCACTAAACACCGCGCTCTAACACAAATGTTCATGTATTTGACCATTAAAGTGCTACAAGTGCACACACACACACACATGCTACCTGTTCAAAGCTAAGCACGGCGCACACACACACAACAGCACGTGCTCTTTCGCACTTTTAAAAATATGAATGATGCGCATCCTGTGCTGCAAAAGTTACATTACAGCACATACCTTTAGTCATTTTCACGTGGAACTGAGCTTTGCAGAGCAAAATGTGTACAACTGGAAAGGGGGTGATATGTGATGGAATAATCGTTTATCTCGATTAATGGATTTTCATAATCTGTAAAAGCCAAAATCGAAATCGGATATTCGATTAATTGCACACCCTACTTAAGTGCAATTAAAATGGTTGCATCCTTGTTTTATCTAGCTTTCAAATTATGCATTAAATTGTGTTTTGTTACTTGTTACCGCCCCACGCGGCTTGGAGTGTATCTGGTTAACCCTTTATATTCACATATCGTGTCTAAAGCCATGTTAAAGACACAACGCGTGCCGCTTTCTTTACGGATTTAAATGCGCTTGTGATCCTCTGCCATTTGTCATTGCTATGGCCACCGTCAGCTGTTCCTATACACAAGCAGTGGTCAAGTTTCAAAATAGTTCAGCTTTTGCCACTGTGTGGATTCATACTGAATGTGCGTCATTGTTAAGAATAGCAATATGCTGCTGTTTAACTGCATTGCTTTAATGTACTCCTGCATTGGGCTCACACATACACTTCGCACTCTAAATACTTCAAAATTGTTGATAAGCCTTGGTGGTGTTTCTCTCTTGTCTTGCTCTGAACGCAGTCGACTAATTGCAACAAACTGGGTTATTGGACCAATCAGTGCAGATTAACATCGCTGCAGAATTAAGAATTCTAGACTTTTTTATTGCTGTATTTTTATTATTCAACTGTGTAAAATATCATTTGTATTTCACTTTCTATTAATCAAGCACTGCCTATTTTGTCTTTCCAACTTTACAGAATAGTTAAATAATATGATGGCTGTCAGACAGATAAAAAGTGTTTTTGTTTTCTGATCAGCATTTAATGAGAATGAAACATAATTTATGTAAATTCTGATATTTTAACAATATTATTAGTATTATACCCTTTTGCATTATTCGACTACTTTGCAGCTGACTGAAACCCAAAATGCCGAAACCCAGAGGATGCTCTCACTAGAAAACCTTAATTACCCACAAAGAAGAAACCAGAAAATAGGATTTCTGTTGACCTTATTCTTCAATGTGGAAGTGCGCCCATTTTTGTGATTGTTTTAGAACTTCCGATTCAGTTGCCTATGCAAGAAATGAATAGGATGGAAGGGAAAGAAAGAAAAAAATGGTCAAATTACTAGTTCTACAAACATGTGTTTGCATGATATACAGACAAAGCAGAATAATGGCTAAAAACAAATGCAAGTAAATAAAGTCTCAAGCAAAAAAGATTCAAATGGCTGTGCTCGTACTCGAAGAATAAGGTGAATAATCCATAGCTTTGCTGAATAAACAGAAGATTTAACTGCTTTCCTGTTGTGAGAATCACACAACTACAAAATTCTCTAATAGAAAGTGTTTATTTCTAACTTAAGTTAAGAAGTGTTGAAGCATGTTTTTAAGTTAAAACATTGTAGTATTTTCACATGCTTTTTAAACTCTGTGTTGTAATTGCTACTCCACCTGAAAGCATGCGCTAGAGATCTACTATCTGGCTTTACTGACATAATGCTTATGAAACTTGCTCTAGAAAACAGCAATAATAAGGTTCCAGTTTGGTACATAAGTGCATAATTGACTTGATTTAGCTTCTCGTAGACCATTTCAATGTGGTCATGGCATTGGCCCATGAACATTTCTTGCTTGTTATCAAACTATTTCATAACTGTAACAAGAGGCAATTCAATCATAACTTAATGTTAAAAAAGCTACCATAACATTATTTCTCAACATGTGGCTCTTTTTTAGATTCTCGGAAGCTACAGAAATAAAAAACTGTACAATAGGAAATATGTTGGGACCATTGTTTTTGTACTGTATATGTCCCTTAAAATGGTCTACAAAGGCCTCTTCAAACACAGATTATCCAGCTAATATAGAAAATAACCTTATTACAGTACATCACGTCTCTGATATTCCACAACCGATCAAAAAAATGGTGATTTGCTTAGCACTGACCAATGGCAACAGATGCTAACAGGTTAACACACTGATTCATCAAAATCTGACAAAGTGTCTGCTGCTGTAGGTCAGCATCTGTCAGTGTGAGCTGCCTCTATAAAAATCCAATAAAAACTCTCACATGTAATGTATTTCTATGACTGATGATTGTTGTCATTTGAGAGTCCCCCTACTCTTCCAAAATTAGTTTATTAACTTCAATATGAAAAGGTGTTTCGGTATCGTACCGCTGCGGACGTTCAGCATGTGGTGTTTGTCCAGAGACCAGCTGCCCAAGTTTGAGGGGTTGAGCTCATATCCCTGCAGCACAGCTGTCCTTTTCTCCCACAGGAGCTGACCGGGACACGTCTCATACTCGTACCCCACAGAAACTATAGAGAGATTGACAGATGGAAAGAGGGATAGGAAAGAAATGTGAAGAATGAAGGCAAAAATGACAGAGAGGGAAGACACTTAGAGGAAGAGCAAAGCTGTGCTATCTTAATTAAACACTCCATCACCGAGCGGGGACATATCAATTCATTAGCTCACAGGAGGAACTTGCCGCTGGCATAGACCATAATGGATGAGAGACAGGCAGTCTCATTAAACTCCAAAACTATCTGTGTTTTGGAGCTCAATTTAAGAGAAGACGCTGGGGAACAGACAATGGCATTGACAAGAAACAAGATAACAGCTGAAATACACCTGTTTCCAGACATGACTACATATCCCACTTACCCAATGCTTCGGTCAAGCCATGGACCCTCTGCCTGTAGGCATCAGTCTTGTCCCAGATATAGGTATATGCCAGGTTAGGAGAGGCATGGAACCATTTCTGGAGGAGATGTCCCTCCACGGCCACCATCAGGTGCACTTTGGCCAGGCTGAGAGGCACTAGAGCTGGGGTCATAATCACTTTGAGCAGTGAAAGGTAGCCTGAGGTCCTGGAGCTTAGATAGCAGAGTTTCAGACTGGTGCCAGGGATCTCCACCTGCTCATGGAGGACCTGGACAGTGCAAAGAAGGGAAAAGTGGGTTATACATGGGCAGCTAGTAAGAATGTGCAGAAACTCTTACTCTCTGGGCCTCAAACGGCTCAGTAGTGATTGAAGCTACAGTCTGAGGTCTAAGTGAATGATGATAAGTTATGTATTGGTGCTGTTATCTGGATGAGAGTGAGGTTAAAGGAAGGTGGGGGGGGGGGGGGGGGGTTCACAACAAATGCAGAACTCTTATGATTAAATTGCATGCAATGTCAGCATACAAATAGTAAATAGAGGCAACCTAGGCTCATTCTGGTTACGTATCGCAGTATACATTTCTAGAGAGAGCAAAATATGTCCCAGGAACAATTTTTTTTTGCAGTTTTTGTTTTCGATATTCCACCAGAAGCCGCTGTGTACGCTTTTTCAGATCTCAAAATTTCTCTCGCAAGAAAAAGAAAAAGAAAAAGAGAAAAAGAAAAAGAAAAGCCCTTACGGCAGCCAGAATTTTACCACATTTTCAGATTTTACCACATTTTCACCCTATTTTTTACGGGTTTATTTAATTTTTTAGTTTGACCGCTTTCTGGAACTGTCTTCACCAGACTCAAACACATTTGTCACGGTCATCTTAGTATCTTGAGTAAATACCATTGTTTTTTTTTTTAAGAAAAAAATTTCTTATCTTAACAGTAACTTCCAAAAGCCCAAGCAAAACCAAGGCAGAACACCCCAACGCAAGTTACCGCTCTTTGACTTGGTTTTGGTATGCTTTAATTAAGTTTTGGTTATCTGCCTTTGTTCAGTAGCACGTCAATATGATGTTACTGTGAGCAGCCTGAATTTAAATTACAATACTCTGCCTTTGTTTTACTGTCATACTTTATCATAAATAGGCTAACAATCTGCAACATATAAAACACTGCAAAAAAGCAAAGAAGCAAAGATTACAAATTCTGAGCAAAAAAAAAAAACTTAAATAATCTAAAAAAATTTAGGAACCAGTGATATACAGTCTAGATAACTAGGTCATACCTATGGTATTAAAAAAATATAACTTAAAATGAATGCAAAATGAGTATAACATTACAATACAGAGACAAAAATAATATTGTAATACTGTAAACAATTACTTTCAAATTATAAAAACTAAATATGTATGTATTACATTTTGTTAGTAATTTGCAAATGCAACCAAAACACAGGATAGCAATAAGTAAATGGCTGTAAATAACTGCCAATCATCTAAAATAAATAGCATGATTACTAGACACTACAGGTGTTGCTGTTTTTGTAAATGTTGAGCAGCAATGATGATCAAGTTTCTGCATTTTGCCTTGGCACGACTAATCAGTTTTTGCATACAATCCAAAGCCAGAAGACATTTACTTTAAAATAGGGGTCAAATGTCAAGTTTGAGCTCAAAATTTTTTATGTATATAAATGTCATTACTAAAACATGTTATTGCCAATTTTACAATGTCCAATCTATGACTAATTTGTCTGAGCAACAAAAAAATCTTTGAAGTCATTTTTCTCAATTCAACACTCGAGATAAGGTCTTTTGCCTTTGTAGGGCAGAGCTGGTAAGCTAGAAAAGGATCGGCATCATACCGCCCTGTAGTGTTCGTTTGAAAGACCAAATGCAGCCATATGTAGCTCTGGCTACATAATTCCTAATCTCCAAAAACTATATAGGGCTAAGTTTTCAGAACAAGTCTATGATGGATAGACTTTTGGAATTTTGCAAAATGCACAGAATTTGTCTCAACTGCTTTGGTTGATAATTGAAATCAATCAAAAAAATTGTGTGAGGGGAAATGTGCCTTGTGTCTGGTTTGAACCCAACATAATAAAGGCCAGCTAATAAGTGCTGCTGAGCTTGTAAATCTCACTCTCTGGGCCTCTCAGTAGCAACTGAAGCAAGAGACTGAGATTTTAACATCCTCGTGAGCCTGCAAGTAATCTGATGGGTTACATTTGTACCAGGACTCAGATGGAAGTGAGGTTAAAGAGAGGTGAGTGTAACAGAGACCAGTTAGTAAGAGTTGTGCAGGTAAATCACACACCCCTGGCCTCAAGGGGGATGTTACAGGCTGTTGTTGTCTGCATGCTCATCTCCAGAGACTCTAGTTTAAGTGCGGTTTGAGTGGAAAAAGAGGGGCTTACACCAGGGGTGTGCAATCATGCTCCTGGAGAAACAAATTGGAGCTCTAAACAACTCCAATACACTTTCCTGATTTGTCAAATTTGAATAGCTTCATGTGTCTTTAATTAAGGGTTGGAGCTAAACTCTGCAGGACATTGACCCTCCAGGAACAAGTTTAGACACTCATGGGTTACATGAACAATATTGATCCAACAATCGAATCTTTCCCTATGGATAAAGTCCTGCCCTACATTTAGCTTGTTTAAGAATACATTTCACACAGATGTGCATCACAATAGAGGCTATTGCAACTTCTGTTGTGGTGATGAAATTAATGGTTTCTTGTTAAGGCTGAATGGTTTCAGTCTCAGAGACGAGATCAAAGAAATAAAAAGTATTTGAAAAAACGAATGATTAATAAAAATAGGTATGAAGACGTAAATGAGTTAAAAGGAGTTCAAGACTGAAAATGGAGATTAACAACAAAAGAGCAGACGAGAGTGAAGAGGCAGAGTAATAGAGAATATAAAACGCAAATAAAAAGCCTACGGAAGAGTGGATTGACCTACTCAAACTCGACAGAAAATGAGATGTGAATAGAATGGTGCTGAATGTGGCACCTGGCTCTCAGGAAGGATGTGTCTCTCTGAAGGGTTGGAGCTGAAGAAGGAGGACAGTGGGGAGGGAAGCACTATTGGATCAGGCCTGACAAAACCGCTCAGGTCACATCTGGCTGTGGGTTTCTCCTCCGTTTGCAGCACCAAAGTGTCCATTGCGTAGAAGCGATTCCAGGGCAGCCACACTGTCCGTTCCTGACTCTGAAAAGGAGCCCGCTCAAACCGCAAGGCCAGAGAGCCTCCGCCATTAGCCACCAGATCAAAACTAGGGACAATAAGCACAGTAAAGGCATTTAGTTGACAAGTAACTCTGCAACTAAAGTTAGAGCCAGCTGTCATTTTAGTATTTGTAGTCTACTATGATAGGCTTAGAGAAAGCAGCAGGGCTTAATTTGTGCCAGGACAAGCCGGATCCGGCCACTCTGAAATCTGATCCTGCACCTCATTTTACCAAACCCCCTCTTCACACGCACCCCGCCCCACCTTGCTCTTCACTTTATTTCACAACTCCCCAACCCTCTTCACTTTAGTCAGAGACACCCCATTCCCCCCGCTCATCACTTCCGTGACACCTCTTCCCTCTGGTAACATGCCAGATCCGTTACCCCCATCTGTTCCGGGACCTTGCAGTTTACAAATTAAGCACTGGTTAGTACAATAAGGTAGAGATCTGCGCGGGACTAAATTTAGAATCCTGCTTCCGCCCGCACCCGCCAGATTTTAGCCCGAACCCGACCGTTCCCACTTATATTCAGCATTTGATGTCCCGCTGCCCGCCCCACCCCGTTTTCTACCCGCCCCGCCCGATCCCGCTAAAGAGCAGGAGGAGAACAAAACCGAAAACCACTCAGTTATATGGAGTCCAGACAGCCTATAACAAGCTGTCAGTATAAACACACACACACACACACACACACACATAAGCACCAAGCGCACACACACACACACACACACACACACACACACACACACATACAAACATAAGCACCAAGCACACACACACAGACAAAGCTCTCTCTCTCTCTCATTCGCACACACACACACACACACCTCTCATTCGCGCGCACACACACACACACACAGCAACAAACAAGCTAAACACAGCATCGCGCTATTTCATTTACACACATACATACGCTTTATTTGGAAATTTATTCCCGCGCTGCCGAAATCTGGTCGGGTCCCGCAGCTGAATGCAGACCTCTACAATAAGGTAACATCTACATGCAAAGTTCCTTATAGTCAGAAGAATGTTTATTGAGGGACCATCAAAATATAGTGCTACCCAAAAAATAAAAATACATCAGGAAAAAGACTTCAGAAGATACTCAACGGCCAAACAGCATCAAATAATGTAAAGTTACTCACGTGCCATCCTGACGAGTCATGGTGTGCCCATAGTGAGGGTACTTCACAAACGTCACATTGACGCCCACCAAAGGAGTGCCATCTGATGTCAAAACCTGACCTCGAATTAGAGATGCCAGACTGCAGACACACACATAAACACAGGTGCATTATTATGACGATAATAAATCATGTCATGTAGTCTACCGCAGGACAAGGCAGATGAGGTACCTGGCATTGAATGGGTTGATTCCAGGGATGATGTGAGTGCTGTCTTTACCAACAAGCATCTTGATTCTGTCATAAAAGGAGGGCACTTTCTGGACCTCTGATTGGCTCTGCTGAATGACCTGTAGTGGGTCACGTGATCCACGGCACAGAGGATTGGTCATACAAGAGCTCTGCGTGCAGCAGTCTGGGTCCATGCAGTCAACAAGACCATCTGAGTGGAAAAGATGTCACCACATACACTTTAGGTCTGTAGCATGCATTTCTAGTTATTTGTAAATAAAGCCACATTAAGATTGTCAAGTAGAGTACTTGATATAAAGATTCCATATTGTATATTCATTTATTTTAAATACATTTACAGAAAATATTTAAATTAGAATATTTACATATTTCTTAGTCATTTTCCCCCACAAACAAGTCTGATGCTCCTTGCTAACCTTGTTCATATTGGTCTCTGGACTGCTTTGGTTATTATGGTTCTGAACTGCTTGCAGCTACATTTTTAAATGTGTTTATATATTTTTGAGAAATTAATTTTCAATTGATTTTACATTTTACATAAAAAAGTTTTGCAAAAACATTTATAATATAAAAAATATATATAAATATAATAAAATGATGGTGTCTCATGTACAGATGACATTTTAAAAAATGCATGCAATCAGCCTTCTGTCTTCATGATAATATTTAGTTTCATGTATGCAGCTGTATTTTAACAAAGCACTGAATTGAGTTTGAACTCAAAAATATGCATTGCTATGAAAGACCTGCATTTTTTCCCCACTTTTATTCTAGCATCGACTCGATTCTGCAAGTATCGCCACATTTGCCCTATCTAGCACAGATGGCAGATGGTTAAAGCGAGTTCTGAAGTCTCTCTGTTCGCCTGCCATCTTCTTCTCAAAGTGTGTACTTCTGATGAACTCTTCAGTTCAAAACCCTGCTTCGCTTTGATGTCAAGAGAAAGACGGACAAATAATGTGATTTAAAAAAACACAATAAGCCCAAATGCAGAACTTCTTAATATTATGGAAATGAAATTGAACAAATCTATTCCGTTGCGATAATGTGCTTGACTGATAGAAGTGATCATTGAATTGAATGATGCTCTAGTTTCACTTTCTCTCCTGGTTTTTACTTTTAGAGAACTTACATCAAAGTCACAGAGGGCATCATTCGCACCCCTGAGTGCTTCTTTTTTTCTGTTTCATCTTTCTTTCTCTCTCTTCCCATCTCTTATTTGCTGTGTATCTCGGTGCGCTGTACATGCACACCTTTTCAACCCTTCTCCCTAAATGGGTCTTTCTTGATGGGGTACAAACTCACAACAAGCGGCTGCTGCCATAGACTTTTGCTCCGTGTTGTTTGGGCTGCTGCTCTGTGATCTCTGAAGCCTCTGTGAAGGTGAAGTAAACCCCCAAACGAAGGGTAAACAAAAGCCAGAAAGACACAGGAAGTTTTGTACATCTAGAGGATGTTTGTCTTTTTTTCCTGAGCTGTTTTTTTTTTTTGTTTGTTTGTTTGTTTAGCTTGGGCATTGATATCAAACATTTCCTTTTATAAGTTATTTGCGATCATTTTTGCCATTTAATTCATAAAAAAGTATAGCTGTTATGAAATAAGATACATGAACTTCAATTAAATCAGTAGTTACGCAATAATGTTGTATTTCATAATATTAGTAAATGACAATAGTAAACATGAACTAGCTTCCACTTTTCTACTAAAATACCTCACTAATTACTTCTTTATTACTAACTTAATGCCAGGATTTATGTTTTTGTCAGCTAAATTTTGATGATTTTATTGAGGGTCTGTGAAGAAAAGGTCAAAATTATTTCAAGATTTTAATGAAATAATTAAAATATTTTTACTACAACAATTAACTAAAATGGGATAAAATATTCTAATCATTTATTTAATTATAAAAATAATTATATTTCAATTTAGCCCTAAATAAACAAATAAATATTTTACAGTAACATATATGTGTTGACGCAACAAGTTTGTGGCATCAAAATAATTATATGTTCCTGATGTAATCTCTTACAAGAAAAATAAAATAAAATCAACACTTTTTTTGTATCTAACATTACCAATATAGGGCTGTAAATAATTTTTTTAACTAAACAATTTGTCCTCCAAACAGTGTCCACAGTGTGTTTTTGTTTATGAAAACAAAAAGACTAAATGAAAATGTAGACTATGTTTTATATTATGCACAAAGTTTGTATTTGATATTGTTTGCTGCTTGTTAACTGAACTTGATGTCCATTCTAAACAATGGACAAGTAAACTACAGAGTAGACGAGTGCTTAAATAGATAACACTTTATTTTAATGGTCCATTTGAGTATTAGAAGACTGTCTACTTAATATCTGTTGATACTGACATTTGACACAGTCCTTCAACAGACAGTTACTTGACTATAAGAAACTTTTCAGGTACATGTCAACCTACTCTAAACCTAACCCCAACCTAACAGTCTACTTATAATCTAATGAGAATTAGTTGGCATGTAGATGCAATGTAACTTAAATATTACTGAACCGATACCGAATTGTCCACAACTGCGTCGCAGTGCACCGAAGAAACAATGAATTTTGATACCCCTACTATTAAGCAGGTGTGAGTTGGAGCTGGTTGGAGCTAAACTATGCAAAGCTGTGGCCCTCCAGGAATTAAGTTTGAGACCACTGGTGTAAATATCAGAGAATGAGAGAAAACATGACAGAGCAGAGAAAATAAAACCATTTTTGAACAAGAAACAACATCATTTCTTGTAAAAAAAAAAAAAAAAAAAAAACCTCTCTGTGCTCTTGACTGTTGCAGGAGGGAAGCTGCTCGGTGGCCTGGACTGACTCTGAACATCCACCTGTTATAAAATCATTCTGCCTACGGCTAGTTTCAAATCCCTCGCTCTGCCTGCTAACAGACACATCACCTTTTCATACGGATGATTGAAGCTGCTCTCTATCCCTCCATTCAGAGCATCTTATATATTATATCTCCCAATAAACTGCCACATAGCAGCAGTTGAAATATATATTGACAAATCTCATAGAGTAGAATTGATTATTTTCGAGTGGGGAAAGGATAGCAAAGCATCAATTCATTTAGGTTTGTGAACTTATGAGGAGCCTGGGAGTTTATGAAGAGCTAACACTTTATTCAATTATAAACCCGAAAACTCAAACGAGGATTATCTGAGGAAACAAATGTTGGGAAACTTGGGGAACAGGATGACCTTTTATTTTGTTCATGTTAAGTCGAGCTTTATTAATTAGAGCTAACTACAAGTTTATGTATGACTTATGAAGATCTGAATTATTAAGGATTACCACATCGGCATCAAATCAGAAGTGTACCTCATTAAAAGATTTAGTCATGTCTGAATTGCACACATCCTACAGTGACATTCTGTTAAGAGTTATTATTTAATTAAGTTATAAATTAATTCTTTGAGTTCACTTGCAAAACGTTTCTGCATTTCTCACACAACTTTCTTGTTCACTCGAATCTCAAATCCTTTGCATTCAGACAAACACTTCCAATTTCCATCACCTCCTGCAGTGGTTGAGACTGCAAATTGCGAAGTATTCATAGAATTTGATTCTAAGTCTATACTCTATAAAGAAATATATAGTTATTGACAAAAGCATGTGTGAAGGGAATAATAGATATCAGCTATTGTACTTTAAATGAGTGTGAAGATATTTTATCGATCGTAACTTTTGTGAAAAACATTATTTACTGCATGATAGATTAAGATTGTATGATGTCAAGTACAACTATTCTGTCAAAATGTAATATTTGAAGTGGAATGCACTCGTACTTTTTCAATAATCTCTTGATAGGTCAAGACCAGCCTAATCTCACAAGGAAACGTAAGTATTTTACGTTTTGTCAGTTTAGTGGCTAATAGTTGAGTCGTACGATAATAAATGATTTTAAAAAGGAGGCATGGCACCCAACCCCAACCCTAACCCCAACCGTCACTGGCCGATGAGCAAATCGTACTGAACTGTACAAATTAGATTGTACGAATTCATAATTAGCCACTAAATCAAAAAGTTACAAATTGCTGTGAGATTGCGTTGGTCAAGACACACAAAGTCAAGAAAGGTGTTGTTTTTTGCTAAAGAAGGGATGTATGGTCATATTTCTGCATCAAAATTGTATTGAATAGGCTTTTTTGTAAGGAAAGTCCACCTAATAATGAAAATGTACATAGGGCTATAGACGGTATGAAGGTATCAGTATGCTATAGTTTAATTTAAATGTGGCTGCTGAGTACGTGCTTTAGAAGGAATGCCAAGAAGCTTAGGATACAAGTTTGTCATTTCCAATGAAGGCGCGTGACTTGCACAACCCGAATTCCACAAGCACACCGCGATTCATTTAAGTGGAACTAAACAAAAGCATAAAGAGAAACAGAAAGAGTTTTTAGCATAGGGTTAATATAATATAGTCATTCAACTTCACAATTTGTAATGTTGCAGTATGTGTTTAAACAATGATGGTTGGTTCCTTTACTAGAAAGCTTAGATTTAATTATAATAATGTGTTTTGTTAACAGAGTTTGAGGTTTACTGCATCATTATTATTCACACCTTACAGATCTACCCCAAAGTTTGCCTTGATTGTTCAGCGTTTATACTTTACCATTACAAACACTTTGTAAGCAAATTTGATAAAGTTTAAGAGTCTTTTTAACACGCATGTTTATTTTATTATAAAGAGATCAGGTATTTAGTTTAAATATTTTTGGCAGTGGCGCAGTAGGTAGTGCTGTCGCCTCACAGCAAGAAGGTCGCTTGGTTGTTGGTTCGAACCTCGGCTCAGTTGGCGTTTCTGTGTGGGGTTTGCATGTTCTTCCTGCCTTCGCATGGGTTTCCTCCGGGTGCTCCGGTTTCCCCCACAGTCCAAAGACATGCGGTACAGGTGAATTGGGTAGGCTAAATTGTCCTCAGTGTATGAGTGTGTGTGTGAATATGTGTGTATGTTTCCCAGAGATGGGTTGCGGCTGGAAGGGCATCCGCTGCGTAAACACTTGCTGGATTAGTTGGCGGTTCATTCTGCTGTGGCTTAATAAAGGGACTAAGCCGACAAGAAAATGAATGAATGAATGAATGCTGGTGAATTAAAACAAAATTGTTAAATAAAAAAAAAATATATTATAAATATTATATACTTAAATGGATTGTTAAAAAATATTCAATAACTATCAATATTGAATGATATGAAAAATTATATTGTGATATATATATATATATATATATATATATATATATATATATATATATATATATATATATATATGTTTATTTTATTTTATTTTTTTATTGTTATTTTATTTGTATTTTTGCAACGTCTCCCAGCTCTAAATGTACTTGCCATTTACGAACCCTTAAGTGGTTTCAAATCTTTTTGAGTTTATTTCTTCTGTCAGTCACAATATTTTGAATAATGTTGTAAGAAATCTCCTTGGAAGTCAGTGGCTACTGGTTTACAACATTAATCAAAATATGAAGAGTTCAAATGTAAAAATCTCTAAATGCCATCCAAAATTCTCATGAAATGAGCATTTTTCTTAGCCTCCGATGTTTATGTTCAAGTATTTCAATGCAATGAATAGGATTTATTTATCACTACAAAAGTCAAATTTCTGAGCCTACACACTGGAGTCGGAGAAAACTTTAGAAGAAAATATCAAACAGCATTTAGAGGTTTTTGCTTCTAAACTCTTCATACTATATATTCCTTTAAGTTTAACAGAAGAAAGAAAATCAAACATGTTTATAACAAGTTGAGAGGGGGAGTAAATAATGACAGAATTTTCATTTTTGGGTGGACTGTCACTGCAGTAATACAAGGCCCAAGGGGAAAAAATCATTTCTGCATTCAGTTTGCATTCTTTACCTCCTTCATTGTCCTTGTTGTCATTGCAGGAGGTTTCCATGGCAACGCTGCAGCCTGGCCCTCTCCAGCCCGTGTGGCACTCACAGTGCCAGCTGTTCTGACCCATGATGCATTGCCCATTCCCATTGCACAGACCCGGACAGCCATCTGTAAGAGTGTGATTATGGTTTAGAGCACATAAGAAACACATGCTAAGTGATACTCAAAAGTTATTAGCTATGTTTCCATCCACTCATTGTAAAATGACTTAACTACTTTCAGTATCAGTGTTATTATATTATTTACAACCTACAGAATAGTCAAAGGCGTCTGTGCTCCGCATCTCACACCTTCAAATGCCACCTCACGTTCATTGCGTGTCTCCATTTGTCTTCTGAGGCACAAGTCATTTATTAAATAAGGAAAAGATTCATGCAGCTTCCCCTACCGCAGTAAATTCCATTTTTTACTGTTCATATTTGACACCAGTTAATCAGGAAGTGACGATTTTGTTCTCTCTGACTCGTTGGATGGAAATGCTGCTTTTTTCGCACGCCTTGTATGCGATAATCCAGTTTTGCGCATACATTTTTTCACAGATTTGGATGGAAACGTAGTTCACATGGAGTTTTTAATAGCATGTACAGCCTTCCTGCGAGTTTTGATTACCAAGTACAGCAACGTTTTAAGTAGCGATTGCAGACTTATTTATGTAGATAAAAAAGTGCCGTTTTAAATAGAAACCTTTCTTTTAGCTTAAATAGTTGAGATTTGAATTACAAGTACAACCTTCCTGTAGCTCACAAAGTAAATATTTTAGGGTTGTGCGAATATTTGACATAAAATTGAGATTCAGTAAAAGCTGCAATTCACATGCACATCTTGTCATGGAAACATGCCTCTGTGATAAACCTGAGGCCAGGGGGAAACTGCATATACAGCACAAAGAAGAGGCATGATCAGGAAATCAAAAAGAGCACAGGATTTACCTGCTTTTATTGCTTCAACATGACTAATAAACACATGAATACGCAATCATCTCACAGAATGATTCATATTTTAGTTACTTGAGTTTTGAGGTGTGTTAGGAGTAAAATCATTATTTTTTAATTTAATTAATTTAATTTCTATAGTGCTTTTACAATGTAGATGGTGTCAAAGCAGCTAAACAGCTAAAGAGTTCTAGTAGACTGAAACTACGTTAGTCCAGTTTTCAGTGTTGAAGTTCAGTTTAGTTCAGTTCAGTGTGGTTTAATGTTCACTGCTGAAAGTTCAAACACTGAAGAGCAAATCCATTGATGTGCAGCTCCACAAGTCCCAAACCAAGCAAGCCAGTGGTGACGGTGGCGAGGAACAAAACTTCACCAATTGATGAAAGTAAAGGAAAAAAACTTAGGAGAAACTAGGCTCAGTTGGCCACAACCATCTCTCTTCTAGCCAAATTTCCTGTGCTGGAGGCTGGAAACCACTGGACATCCATTTTAAATGTGGTATTTTCACATGCATTAGCATCTACACAGATCCATTGTGCTCTTAGAAGCAATGCAGACAGCTGTCAAATCACAAAACGATTTTCATTGATTTCAGGGTTGTGCCAATGAAATCTTCTGCACTCTTTTGTGTAAATCAGTGAACTATGGCTCTGTGTAGCATCTGAAAACAGCTGATGGAGATTTATAACTTCTTACAGAGCCAACTTTAGCACCAAAACATGCATGAATATCAACTTCGATTATTTGCCCAGCCCTACAACCTTCCTGTAGCTCAAATAGTAGAGCATAGCATTAGTAAATGTCAAGGTTGTCGCATGGTCGCCCACTGAAGCAAAGCAGATCTGCGCCCGGTCAGAACCTGAATGGGAGACCACATGTGAAAGCTAAGTTGCGGAAGGGGTGTTAGTGAGACCAGCAGGGGGTGCTCAATGATCTGTGTGGGTCCTAATGCCCCAGTATATTTATGGGGATTCTATACTGGGGTGCTTTCCCAAAACCATTGTTAGCCAACTAAGGTCGCAAGTTGTGTTGTTACAAACATAATTTGTTGATTTGCCGTTTCCCAAATCCATTGTTCCAACGAACATTCACAAACTGCGTCGCAAACTTGTGTTCTTGCAACTACACCTCTGGAGCTGTAGTTAGAAGCATAGTTTCTGGCTGTGTTCTATTCGCAGTTATCTCCCCTATGTCCTATTTATTTAGAGCATTCCAACATTTAAACTTGGAATGATAAAAAAAAAGCATTTAAGTCATCCATTTGCTTTCAAAGTATTTTTACAGTTCAGTTTTAGTGATCCTTATGTTTACAATTGTGCTCCCTTCGCAGTGCACTTTGAAACAATTGATGTCATTTTGAACACAGCCTCATGACAAAAGCTATAGGTGACCTATTTAAAAGCGGAATTTGTGTTACATCTCCAAAGCTTGTGAAAACAAACAACATAGCATACGTTAATGCTTTTTAATTTATAGTAGGTTATTTATTAAGTATCTGTACTGTATATGACAAGGGCCTGTTGGTTGGAGCATTTCTGCAGTGTTTTGCATGTATCAAATTGTAAAAGCAGACTTTAAAAAAAAAATAGTAAAATAAACAATATCCTACTTAATAGGATAACTTAATAACGATGGATCTGCGACAGAGAAACTGCGACAGAGGTCCTGACTCTCTGTTGTCATTAAAAATCCCAGGATGTCCGTGGAAAATGAGTAGTTAACCCTGACATCCTGGCCAAATTTGCCCACTGGCCTCTGTCCATCATGGCCTCCTAACCATCCCCATATGAAAATTGTCTCCATCATCTGTCTCCTCTCCACCAATAAGCCTCTATGTGGTGTGCGTTCTGGCACAATATGGCTGCCGTCGCGTCATCCAGGTGGATGCCGCACACTGGTGGTGGATGAGGAGATTCCCCCCATTGTGTAAAGCACGTTGAGTGTCTAGAAAAGCGCTATACAAATGTAAAGAATTATTATTATTATTATTATTATTATTATTATTATTATTATTATTAATTTTAATATTATTATAAAACGCAAAAACCTTTATTCAGGGTTTCTGCAGGTTTCACCAAGTTAAATTTAAGACATTTTAAATACATTTTAGACTTATACAGGACTAAATGCTAAGGATTTTTTCTAATATCCCAGTTAGAAAAGTTGTTCACTTGCCTTATTAAAAAATTTAAAAATATAAAATTTAATACATTCAATAACAATAATTTAGTTGTATTTTTTTATGAAATTTCAAATATATCCATTCACAAACCCTACAACCCTTACCAAGAATAGAACAAAACATAGCTGCCTATTACTTCAGTCTACAATAATAATAATTTACTGATACATTTTTTTTTTTTTTTGTCAGTATCCTGACCTTTTGGGCAAATGTTACTGTAATACAAGTGATTAAAAGCAAATAAATAAAAAAAATATAATAAGATGTGTTGTCGATGATTGTATGACTGTTAATGGCCAGATTGGGTAGCTATACATTAAGGAAAATTAAGACCTGTTAAAAGATTAAAGACCTACAACACAACATTTCAGTAGACTTAAGACATTTTATGGCCTAAAATTTACCATTTAAGAAATTAAGAGGTTTTAAGACCTTGCAGATACCCTGATATTGCAATGCAAGTCACTTTAGGTTAAAGATTAAAGCATCAGTAAAAATATAAATGTAAAACTCACAATGTTGTTGGCAAGCCTACCACAGATCACTAAGAAAACATGTGAGACTGCCTCATGATGGACATCTTTCGTCAATGATGCTGAGCAAAACTATTAAGGGTAGACTGCTGCATTTTAGCTGGTAAATTCAGAGTCAAGAAGTGTTTTGCGCACAGAATCCATCAGCTCTAATTGTCTGAAAACAATGAAGTGAAAACTGCGACAGAGAGGGGGGGATTGTGCTCATTAGCATTAAAACAAGCATACTAGCACATGCAACCGAAGCAGCATCCATTAGTATTCTTCTTCCAGCTGGACTCCAGAGCTCAGAAAGTCATTTAAAATTCTTACAGATGCGGATCACACAGTGAAGACCGTGTCCTTTGCTCTGAATGCGATTATAAAACAGTGACAATACAAACACGCGCACACACACATAGGCACAAGTGATTTTTTTTTTGTACATGTTCTGATGCAAACATGAGCAAATCATTCTATCCAACAAAACAGTGGCTGGAAAGTCTTTGGTGTAAAAACAAGTCATGGATGCGAGTGAAATGTCTTTGACTGGCTCAAAGCTTCAAAGCAGGATAAAAGCGCATGTCTGTGTGTGTGTGTGTGTGAGTGTGTGTGTGTGTGTGTGTGTGTGTGTGTGTGTCGGTGTGTGTGTGTGTGTGTGTGTGTGTGTGTGTGTGTGTGTGTCTGTGTGTGTGTGTGTGTGTGTGTGTGTGTGTGTGTGTGTGTGTTTGTGTGTGTGTGTGTGTGTGTTTACCAATGGTACAGTGCTCTCCGTTCCAGCCCTGTTCACACTGGCACTTGCCATCCCTGCAGGTCCCATGTTTCACACACTGTGGGTTACACAGTCTCTGGTCACAGCTTGTGCCTGTCCAGCCCTCCTCACAGTGGCAAACGCCTCCGACACACACGCCATGACTGCCACAATCTGCTGAACACACCTCTGGAGAGAGACACACAGAGAAAAAGAGTAATTTTGTTCTTATTTTTCAGTTATATTACTGTTATATTATTCTTGTATTTAAACAAATACCAATTATACTGACAGCTGCCTGTGTGGATCTTGTCGGAAAATATCTAGTATGGTGAAAAGTCCTACATGACGGTAATAGTTTGATTGCGGTGTTTACTTCAGTAATGCCACTAATATATGCATACTCCACGTCTTAATTCCATTTCTGTTTAGTTCAGTTATGACTTTAGTTGCATTAAGGTAATCAAAAATCGCTGTTTAAATGGTAGACTCTTAATCAGAGTATTGTTTAAATTACATTTAAATCGTATTAAAGTATTGTTGCCCATGTAAACATACTCAATGTTTGACACACCGTCAGGGCTCTGAAAACTGGGCTTTGCAAAGCAGCCTTTTCTGTATCTACAGTTCCTACATCAAAAGCTAATATGAAATTACCTCTCTTGAGAAACCTGTTCTCAAAGACTTATTATTTGGGTAGCACACATATTCTGAATGCCTTCAGCAGAATTCAAATGAGCCATCTTAATTCAGATAAATTTCGAGATTAATCTAGATAGAAAATTAATATATGCCCACCTATAATATATATACACACACAATCAAAGTCAGATTTATTAGCCCATCTTTGAATATTTTTCTTAAATATTTCCCAAATAATGTTTAACAGAGCAAGGAAATTTTTACAGTATGTCTGATAATATTTTCTGTTCTGGAGAAAGTCTTATTTGTTTTATTTTGGCTAGAATAAAAGCAGTTTTTAATTTTTTAAAAAACATTTTAAGGTCAAAATTATTAGCCCCTTTAAGCTAGATTTTCAATAGTGTACAGACCAACCCACTGTTTGTAACCTGCCTAGTTAACCTAATTAACATAGTTAAGCCTTTAAATGTCACTAGTCAAATATTATTTACTGTCATCATGACAAAGATAAAATAAATTTAGTTATTAGAAAGGAGTTATTAAAACTATTATGTTTAGAAATGTGTTGAAAAAAATCTTCTCTCTGTTAAACAGAAATTGTGGAAAAAATAATCAGGGGGGCTAATAAATCCAGGGTGCTAATAATTCTGACTTAAATTGTGTGTGTGTGTGTATATAATACAGCATTTATTAATCGTAGTTCAACATTTACTAGTGCATTATTAACATCCATGTTCATGCTTGTTATTATTAGTTAATGCACCGTGAGTTAACATGAACTAACAATGAATGACGGCATTTTCATTAACAATCATCAACAGCTGAACACTGTAATAAATCTATTGTATCTATTGTTCATTATTTGTTCATGTTAGTAAATGCATTACTATTAACTAATGTTACAATATTGTAGTGTAACCAATAATAAATATAAATGTTATATTCAATATTTTTTGAAGTGCACATTATCCACAAAAATTTGAAACTGCATCCACTGTTTTAGGGGTGTGCTTGTGCTGCTACCTGATTTGCATATGAATCGAGTGTTAAACCAGCACATGCCGCAAGTGCAAATAAACAACGCCATCAGTGGGTGTAATTCATGTTTAGTGAACCCCTTGAGAGTATAGATGGATGACAATGAGTGCACTGCAGCACAGCTTGAGAAAACAGTGAGTAAGAAGGTGGAAATGGCTGACGGGACGCACCCGTGGAGCAGTCAGGGCCCATCCAGTTGGGATCACAGCTGCAGAGGCCTGTGTCAGGACTGTACACTCCATGGCCATTGCACTGATCTGGACACTGGGCTCTGGATACATCACACAGGGGTCCGGACCAACCTGGCTTACAGTGGCATTGACCAGACACACAGCTGCCATGTCCTGAACACGTCGGGTCAAGACAGTCCACTGTAGAGAGAGAGAAAAACAGACTTTCTCAAGTTTTCCTTCCTCCTCGTCTTTCATTTCACTCTTCTAAACCCACCTCTGGGAGCTCAGAAACTGCAGCTCCAGCTCATATGAACATGCGCTCAGAGACTCTGGCCAGTTTTTTAAAAGCCCGATCAATAGGCTGGATTTCATCACTTTAATAAAGTTTATTACACTTGTACCGGCATGCTTTTATAGCAGTCATTTGAAAACTGAGACTCTCAGAGGATAAGTGCTGAGTTTTTGAGAAGCTCTGGAATGCGTTCAATTACCTTCCTCGCAGGACTCGCCACGATAACCCGCTTCACAGGTGCAGCTGCCCTGAGCGCAGGTCCCGTGACCACCGCAGCTGGGGTCCACGCATTGGCCCTGCGGCACGTCGCACTCCAGACCCTTCCAGCCACTGTAGCACATGCACACACCCTTGCTGTACTGACCGTTCCCACTGCACAGCACTGGACACGCCACTGCAACACAGAACCACGGAGAGCATGCAGGAGGGGAAACAAATGAGAGAGAGAGAGGGAAAGACAGAAGAGCAGGACGTTTGAGAGGAATTAGTGAAAACTAAAGCTTCATTGAGAGAAGTGCAGGAATGAAATGTTAGATAAGAGAAAGATTAGGAAACAAAATGTTAATTGAAATGAATACAAAATGACTATGCAATCACTTTAAACGGTATGTCAAGGAAAGTGAATCCTGAGAGCTGTATTTGAGTTTTCTGCCAATGACTAAAAAAAAATGTCATAAGCTCTGTTTTCACTTGATATTAAAGGGATATTTCACCCATTAATGCAATTCTCTCATTATTTACTCTTCCTTCACTTGTTTGGAGCCTGTTTGAATTTCTTGATTTCTGTTGAACACAAAAGAAGATGCTTTGAAAAATGCTGGTTGCTGGAACCTATTGACTTGCATTGTATTTTTTTCCTACTATGGATGTCGATGAGTGCCAGCAACCAGCATTTTTCAAAATATATATTTGTGTGTGTGTGTGTGTGTGTGTTCAACGAAAGAAACTCTGGTAACACTTTATAATAACTACACACTATGAATCATTTGTTAAGCATTAGTGAGTTCATTATCTGTTAAGCATTAAATCTATATTAATACATGTTAGTAAGCATGCTTAATGATTGTGTTTTCATAATTATAATTTATAATTCATACTTTCATACCTATAATTTATTTTTTCATTACTAATTATTTACAAATTATTTAAGAATAGCTGGTGGTTTATAAAGATAATTTAGAATGAGTTAGTGAATGATTAATTTAATTAAACTATTTAAATTAACATTTATAATTCTTATTATTCAGGCATATATTAACAGTTAGTTTGTTAATAAATGCTTTATAAACTCAACCTCATCCAGTTGTGTTACCTAATCTAAAGTCAGGACTATTTATGTTTTGTATATATATATATATATATATATATATATATATATATATACACACATATATATGTGTGTGTGTGTGTGTGTGTGTGTGTGTGTGTGTGTATGTATGTATGTATGTCTATGTATGTTTATATATATATATATATATATATATATATACACATACTCTTTCTGAATGATCTTAAAAAACATTGACTAATCTTAAATACATATGGTTTGTAAATAATGTGATGCTTGATTTAGTAATGAAAAATCAATCACTTGCAAATTAAGAAAGAACAATTATTAAGCACATAGTAAATGTGCTTATAGGTCAAGAATAGAGCATTTGTGTCTGCAGTTATAAACTGCTTACAAACTCTTATTAATGTACAGTTAATGCTTAACAAATAATGAATTCGCTGTTTGTTAATGCTGAAGAAATTATTCATGGTTTGTAGTTATTAGAAAGTGTTACCCAAACTCATAAAGGTTTAAAACCACATGGAGGAGAGTAAATGATGCGGTGATCTTCATTTTTGGGTGAACTGTTGCTTTAATATGCAGTTTTGTTGATTGGACCAAAAGGACACAAGGGATACACATTTAATTTGGCTCATAAGGTTTCACTGTGCCTCCTTTGTCCAGTTTTGACCATTTTCTTAGCATTTCCTTGAGTGGAATAAAAGAAGCTCTTGCCATTTACTGAAAGCAGCAGCTTTTATTTCTGCTTTGATAGATGCAAAACTCTGTGGGTTTCTTTAGATTTAGGACTACAGAGAGAACGTTGTGCTTTTTAAATTTTTTTTTGCTTTCAAATCAAACTTACGGTTTCAGGCAACAAAAACAATATACACCATTACTTTTAAAAAACAGATCAGTAGTTAGTCAGTGATCTTTTGTGGCAATTTGAACACATGTAAATATACATTATGAAAGCAGTCAATTCAAATTTGCTTTCTTCTGAAAGTGTTTGAAGGCAGGCAAATTCAAAATGTGTCCGTGTTCAATGTCAGTCTGTTAGTTAAGAATACTTGATGAGATTGTTAAAAAGCATCTTAATACCAGGTGTTAACAGGTATATTTAGTCGTGGGATGCTTCATTTGTTGTAGTGAATTTCTTTTAAAATTATCTAAAGAAGTGTTTCGCCAATTACATTCTCTGTGCAGGATCATGTATGATATACAGCATTAATGCCACCATCACGAGTCATTCCTCCTCATTGATTCCCTTACTAACCTTTAGTGAATACTCTGATATATACATTAGACTACTGCTAAAATGCTCAGGGTCAATGAAAGATTTTTAAGGATTTTGAAAGCAGTCTCTAGGCAACTAGCAGGCTTTTAAATTAAAATACAGTAAAATAATAATAGTATCAGTAACAATAAGTAACAGTAAATGTCATAGTGCAGGACACCAAACACAGCAGTGGAACACAACATTTGATATGGCAGTACTGAACATTAAATAATATTAACAATATTACATTTTTTCCTTACTTAGAAATGCAAATTTTTTTAAATAGACAACAGAAACATATTCCACTTGCGTTGAAAATGTAAATACACTCAGGCTGAATAGATTACAAGAATATCAGTAACAAGAATATCTAAAACACACACACACACACACACACACACACACACACACACACACACACACACACACACACACACACACACACACACATATATATATATATATATATATATATATATATATATATATATATATATATATATATATATATATATATATATATATAATTTATGTTTTTGGGACGAGGTCTGTGTAGCTTCTGTGTAGACACTCATCAAGAGACTTTTACTTAGAAAAAAATATTGTTTTTAACAAAAAAGATTAAAATTAAAACCAAATTATATTTTTATACAGAAAATAATATATTGCACATAAGTTACAGTGAAATGAGCAGTCAAAAATTACTTTTGCATTGTTTGTTCAAAGAAAAATGAGCTAAAAAAAAAAATTTAAAAAATTTTTTTTTTGGGAGACAACTTAATAATTTTGTTCAAATCACTTAAATTTGTTAAAACTAATAGGTTCCCAACAAAAATCAATTGCCAGCATTGATTGATTGATTGATTGATTGATTGATTGATTCATTCATTCATTTATTATTAAAATAGTTTCTTTACTTTAACTAATTTAATTTAGGATTCACTTGCATCTTGACAAGTTAAACTTATTCATTTATACATTCATTTTCTTGTCAGCTTAGTCCCTTTATTAATCCGGGGTCGCCACTGCGGAATGAACCGCCAACTTATCCAGCACGTATTTATGCAGTGGATGCCCTTCCAGCCGCAACCCATCTCAGGGAAACATCCACATACACTCATTTACAAACACACACACACACACACACACACACACAACGGACAATTTAGCCTACCCAATTCACCTGTACCGCACGTCTTTGGACTGTGGGGGAAACCGAAGCACCCGGAGGAAACCCACGCGAACCCAGGGAGAACATGCAAACTCCACACAGAAACGCCAACTGAGCCGAGTCTCGAACCAGCAACCCAGCGACTTTCTTGCTGTGATTCGACAGCACTACCTACTGCGCCACTGCATCGCCGACAAGTTACACTTTGCTAGATAATTTCTCCAGCATAAGCCAGTATATACTCAAGTGAGCAGACACCCAAGAGGAAAAATGACAGTTTTCAGTGAAAAATTGTCTGGAATGTATTAAATCTAGGAAAATAAGAAAGGAATCCTGGCTCTTTCCCTCCAAAGTTCACCGTTCAGCCTCAATGCCAGCATGAACATATTACTCTGAATATGGTAATAAGAGAGACTATTGCATGTGTAATTAAGGTAGAGAGACTCAAAGGCAATATCAGCAGCTGCATTCGACAGTAATAAACTAGCTGTCTATAGCCTCAGGTGAGCTCGACACATATTTCTCTTTACGAAGCCTCTACTGAGAGCACTTCATCATTCAAAAAGATTGGCCTGGCACAGTCAAGCCAACAAACCCATCAGACATTTTGGCATAACTGAGACGGGATTAATCAGCGATGCTGAAATTCATCCATCTGGATCTCGGCGTGATGTGACGGTGTCATACAGAAGTTACAACAAATGGCCAGAGCTTATGTACACTGAAGATCAGACCACAAACACTGAGCCCGAGGGGAATTTCAGACAAATGTTTTATTCACACATCTGTAATGGCATCAAAATTAAACATGCATCAGTTCATCTAGAAAACTTGTTTTGTAGTTATAATAATAAAATATTTAATTCAGCATTAAATGATGATGTAAAGAATGATTATGACAATTCAGCTTTATTTTAGAAGCATTACAATTTTAGCTTTTTTTTTTTTTTTTAGATCCAAATTGGTTGGTTTTTGTCCTTTCCTTAGCTAATATACTTAAAAGATATGTACACTCAACGGCCATTTTATTAGATACACCTTACTAGTACCGGGTTGGACCGCCTTTTGCCTTCAGAACTGCTGTAATCCTTTGTGGCATAGATTCAAAAAGGTACTGCAAATATTCCTCCGAGATTTTGGTCCATATTGACATAATGGCTTCATGCAGTAGTTGCAGATTTGTCTGCTGCACATCCAAAATGCAAATTTCCTGTTCCAGCACATCCCGAAGGTGCTCTATTGGATTGAGATCTGGTGACTGTGGACGCCATTTGAGTACAGTGTACTTATTGTTATGTTCAAGAAACCAGTCTGAGACCCTACCATTGTCGCAGCAGAAACCGAGACTCATCAGACCAGGCAACATTTTTCCAATCTTCTATTGTCCAATTTCAGTGAGATGTGTGAATGGTAGCCTCAGTTTCCTGTTCTTAGCTGACAGGAGTGGCACCTGGTGTGGTTTTTTGCTGCTGTTGCCCATCCGCCTCAAGGCCGGACGTTGTGCATTTAGAGATGCTCTTCTGCATACCTTAGTTGTGATTGTTTGAGGTTATGGTTATTTGAGTTAATGTTGCCTTTCTATCAGCTTGAACCACTCTGATCATTCTCCTCTGACCTCTGCCATCAACATGGCATTTGCTCTTACAGAACTGCCGCTCATTGGAACTTTTCTCTTTTTTAAATATTCTCTGTAAACCCTATAGATAGTTGTGTGTGAAAATCTCAGTAGATCCGAAGTTCCTGACACACTCAGACCAGCCCGTCTGGCACCAAGAGCCACGTTCAAAGTCACTTAAATCACCTTTCTTCCCCATTTAGATGTCTAAATGCATCGAATTGCTGCCATGTGTTTGGCTGATTAGAAATTTGCAGTAACAAGCAGTTGGACAGGTGTACCTAATAGTGATTGTTGAGTCTATATTTACACTTTAATTATATTTTTCTTCATTTTTTTTTTACATTTTAAGGCAATACGGGTTTTGTTTCAAGTAAGAAGAAGAGTATTACTGTTATGATTCTAGTTTTAGTTAACTTAATTTCATAACTTATTTATATTAATTTAACTTAGTGAAGTTTCACAAACTAATTTTGAGAGGACCACGTGATATGATTGACTGCAGCTGGTCTCTCATCTTCAATCATTAATTAGCCAATCAGATTAATCCAAATTCACTCTTTACACAGTAGCCTAGCTAAAACCATCCACCCCTTCTCCCCCTTTCTTCCTTTACCACGAGGAGCTCTCGAGAACTACCTGATCTCGTACTCGCCTTACATGCCCAATCGACCAGGCGGGAGCCCTGGACACAATAATCTCCTAGCTCAGGGTTCTCTCCTGGGAGAGCATGCCAAATCTGCTAACATATGTCAAACAATATCCAAGTGTGAACTCTTGAAATTTAATTTATCAATTGTAAGACCACATGTAAATATGACAATGCCAATAAATCAATTAATCGTTCAATAAAATGTATTATTTACATAACATTTGACTTTAATATATATTTTAAGATAAAGAACAAAGATTGTTTATTTTTATTCATAATTAAGCTCAAATGGCTAATTCACTAAAACAGGGTTGACCAAATATCTTTTTAAATATCATCTAGAGCCATGGGCCAAAGGTAAATATACCAAACTATATTGCATTAAAGATGCCATGGGTGATTTCCTAATTTATATTATAATATTTCCAAATAAAAAGAAAACTTGACTTTAAATCAAATTAACTAATGCAGTTTAACTTTTTTAAATTATAACTTATTGCAATAAAAACAAATCATTTATAACACAGTGGAGTTAGATGCTGAATACACTAGTCAAGCAGACTTGATTTGCTCACCAAAGTCTTCACATTTTTGGGTTAAGGCATGTAAATTTAAACAAAATCAGATTCAATTTACAGCATTTAATTGAATATATATATATATATATATATATATATATATATATAATTTCAGTTAGCTTTTAACAGTAAAACAAACAAACAAACAAACAAACAAACAAACAAACAAACAAAGGGTTACATTAAATTTGAACTGATTTTCGCAAAAACATCCCATCCTTCTCCTTTTTTCAGATGAGATGGCAGGCCAAATCAAAGGTTACCATGGGTCAACTTTGGCCCGCATTCCCTAGTTTGGGCATCTCTGCACTAAACTGTATTAAATTGTGTCATTTTAATAGGTGTATATTTTTTTTAAACTTCTGAAAATTGTATGATTTATAAAAGTGGTTGTATATGACTATAAGTTAGGAGGGGAAAATTTGAAGTTTTAGTCATATTTTACAATATCATTCATACTGTATGTGAAATGGTAAAATGAAAACCAGAAGTCCTAAATAAAAGAAACCATTTACAATTCAAGCAGCAGTGTGAAACAGTTTTTGAAAGCAATGAATGCTGCAGTGTGACAGGAAGCAGTACCTTTAGAGCAGTCTGAGCCGTGGAAGCCTGGGAAGCAGTGACACGCTCCTGACATGCACTCTCCATTGCCGTGGCAGTTCTGAGAACACTCTTCCACCGAGTCTGAGACCACACATAAGAGACACATGCATTTTACAACCTTGGAGCAGAACATTCACAAGACACTTCATAGGGGTCATGAACCGCCTTTTGATTGTTTTGTACTGTTCTCTGAGGTCCACTTATAATGTTATAAAGATCTTACAATAAAAAAAACATCACAGTTTAGAGACTGTCCTGTTTTGACCGCTTTTATTGAAACACACTGGAATTGTAGACTTCAAAGTAAATACACAGTAAATAAACAGTCTTGTGCATTTAAACCTTCATGAACGTTGGAAAGGAGAGAAGTGTGTTTACTTACACTCTCAGAAATAAAGGTATAAAGCTGTCGTTAGAGTAGGACACTTTCAAAAGGTACAATTTTGTACTTTTTTTTAGATAAAATGTACACTTTAGGGTGAAGCAGTGGCGAAGTCGGTAGTGCTGTCGCCTCACAGCAAGAAGGTCGCTGGGTCATTGGTTCGAGCCTTGGCTCAGTTGATGTTTCTGTGTGGTGTTTGCATGTTCTTTCTGCGTTCGCGTGGGTTTCCTCCGGGTGCTCCATGAGGTACAGGTGAATTGGGTAGGCTAAATTGTCCGTAGTGTATGAGTGTGTGTGTGTGAATGTGTGTGTGGATGTTTCCTAGAGATGGGTTGTGGCTGGAAGGGCATCCGCTGTGTAAAAACTTGCTGGATGAGTTGGCGGTTTATTCCGCTGTGGCGACCCCGAATTAATAAAGGGACTAAGCTGACAAGAAAATGAATGAATGAATGAATGAATGTACACTTTAGGTACTACACTATATTATTAAGTTATCAATATAGACTCTCTGCAGATATGTATTGCTCATTTTTAACCTTTTTTTAAGCACTCATTGAAAAACTCATTGGAAAAGAAAATCTGCAGTTTTCACTGTGGGATGTTACAAGACCATTACAGTACATTACAGGGGATTATTATTAATTTGGCACTATGGGTAAATGACTAGAAATAACAAATGGCAGTAAACGGTTTGACTACTTGTGCTACAAAATGGTGTATTTATAACAATACATTAAAATTAAAATAATATGATAAGACAATGCCAATTTGGAACATCGAGCAGCAGTTTTGTACATCTAAACTGAACTGAAGTCAATGAGAGCGGAAGTCACGACGCATTTCAGCTACAATGGCCTTTATGTGAAAAATAATGTGGATAAAGTGGCTCATTCCACACGAGGCTCATTTTGGTATACTGGCTTCAGTATAAGCTGTTTTTAGATTCATGACAAAGCTTTGAGTTCTTACAAGATGTTTTTTGAGTACAGTGACCACTAATCTGTCCAAACATTTTGACTGGGAATCTTTCGGTTAGATTATCATTTACTCAGCATGGTGCACCATGTGAACTCATAGGCAGCGCTACTGAATGTTCAGTTGCAATGTGTGAATTACTGAGACATATTTCACTAAAGCTTTTGGGAACTATAGAACCATGAGAGTGTTCAACAGTGGTCATAAATCTCAGACAGTCCCAACTTTCAGAAATGAAGCTTTTACACAATAAGTGATCATTTAAAGCCATTTGACTTTTTTTTTTTTTTTTGGTGAATATTAGCATTCAATATTGGTCCCACTTCATATTCATTCATTCATTCATTCATTCATTCATTCATTTTCTCTCGGTCCCTACATTCATTAGGGGTCGCTACAGCAGAATGAACCACCAACTTATCCAGCAAATTTTTACACAACGGATGCCTTTACCAGCTGCAACCAAGTACTGTGAAACATCCATACACACATACACTACGGCCAATTTAGTTTATTCAATACACCTGTACCCTAGTCTTTGGACTGAGGGGAAAACCAGAGCACCCAAAGAAAACCTGCGCGAACACGGGAAGAACATGCAAACTCCACACAGAAATGCCAACTGACCCAGCTTGGACTTGAACCAGCGACCTTCTTGTTAAGAGGCGCCACCGTGTCGCCCCCCACTTTATATTTAGTAGCCTTAAATACTATGTACTTACATTTAAATTAATCCTTTAGTACAATGCACTTATGCATGTTTTTACATTGTACAAATAATATAAAACGAATCTGCTTGTAATTACATCTGTAATTAATTTCTATAATTACATTTATAATTAGACTGTTTACCCATCCCTTACCTTAACCAAACTTTAAACCTACCCATACCCCTAGACGTGTCTATAACCTTACCCGTATTCCACTTCAAGAGCTCCGAGAGTGTTGTGCATAACTATCCATGGGGACCAAAAACGTCATATTTGCTATGCTCACCACCATATTTGTGTCCGATATGGTCACACTCACAACCACAGCACATTTAAAAGAGACTAAATGAAATCAATATTTGATTATTACTACACATATGTGTTTATCATTCAAAATGTATTTGACGAAAAAGTGAGCTTGATCACAGAAAGTGATGTAGGTCTCAATAATTAGCATGACATCCACAATGTTTATTTGTGTCATCATAAGCATGCCCATGGTGCAGTTTTCTTATACACAGACCCACATGAGAGAGTGCGCTCTTAAAGAGCAACACATAAGTGTGTCAACAAATAAAGAAAACAGATGCCAGGGCATTTCTGACAGATCGTTCTCTCCAGTGATCTACAGTATGGGTGAGTGATGGTCTGCTAATCAAATTAGATTACAATCCAGCATTGAACTATACTCATTTGCAGTTTGATATGACAGTGAAAATCCCACAAGCAGCATAGCTACTTCAAAAAAGGGCTATTTTATTTGTTAAACTGCGATTATAACAAAAACAGTGTGGTTTTATTCAGTAATAAAGAAAGTCAAGTGGTGCGCTGTCTACTCAAAGGATTACCATTAGTCGAGTAGCACAAGCATTATCATGGAACTTGTAAAGCACATAATCAATTGCACCAGGAAACATCTTCATCACAATTATGCAATGAAAAGTTGTTAATTTTTACTGGTGCTACTAAAGGAACATAACATAATTCAGCTATTTCAGCACAACAACAGACTGACAGCATAGTTGGGTCACAAAAATGGCCACACCACTGTGTGACATGACAGTACATGGAACCTATGTATATAAACACAATAAGTACACTGTACTTATTTTCTGATGTAGGTACATGGTAGTTAAGGCCACTTCATTTAAAGTGGGACCAAGATTTTAGCTGAAACTTGGTGATTAAATATACGTCTACCATCAATTTGCTAATCAAAAACAAACAAGCAAACAAACTAAAATACAGGCAAAACAAAATGAATAATGCTGACTTCTGATGATACACTGAGGTCTTACAAAGCAAATTATGTGCAAAAAAAAACAACATTTATGATAATTAACCTTAATCCAGAGCTTCTGTATATGATCTTGAGAGTTTTCTTTGCTTTTTGTGCAGCTCTCAATATACTGTCATGAGCCACAGGTATACTTTTTTGTGAACAAATTAACAGCTGAATTTCCTTTTTGGGTGAAGTATCTTATTAAGCATATCAACTGTTATGAATATAGTGGACCCAGAAAATATTTGGCCACTTAATCCACACTTAAAAATTCATGAAAGCCATCAAAATAGATAAATATCAAAGTGGCATCTGCAAACAAATAATGCTAGAGCTTTTCTCCAAACTCATTTCACTTTTTGCAGGCCATTTTGCGGTGCCTTGTAAACAGCCGATCTCAAGGTGATTTGGAGTGAATGACTGAAACTGGTTCTCCTCAAGTTCACACAGGGGTCCTGTGAGTTCTTCCACTATTGTTTGACACTGAGTGGCTTTTATTTTTATTAGTAAAGCGAACACTTCTTTGGTGAATGCTTTGAAAAGTGTGCCCGTGGTGTTTTTCTGTAAAATAAATGCCACTTGATTTAATACTGCATTTTTGTATTATTTCATTTGAAGTAGCTTAAGTGGTCAAATACTTTAAGCACTTGATATCTGTGGATTCATCCAGACAGCAGACAGACTATTTATTCATTTATTTAGTTATAGTTTATCTGTTGGCATCAGGGTGACTGAGTGGTTAGCACAACTGCCTCACATCAAGGTCACTGGTTTAAGTCCTGGTTTGCTCAGGTGGCCTTTCTGTGTGGAGTATGCATGTTCTCCATGTGTTCGCACAGGTTTCAGCGACAGTTCAGAAACATGCGGTATAGGTGAATTGAATAAACTAAATTGCCCATAGGTGACGCAGTGGCGCAGTAGGTAGTGCTGTTGCCTCACAGCGAAAAGGTCGCTGGTTCGAGCCTCGGCTGGGTCAGATGGTGTTTCTGTGTGGAGTTTGCATTTTCTCCCTGTGTTTGCATGGGTTTTCTCCGGGTGCTCCGGTTTCTTCCACGGTCCAAAGACATGCGATGCAGGTGAACTGGGTAGGCTAAATTGTCTGTAGTGTATGATTGGGTATGGATGTTTCCCAGAGATGGGTTGCAGCTGGAAAGGCATCCGCTGTATAAAACATATACTGGTTTAGTTGGTGGTTCATTCAGCTATGGCGACCCCAGATTAATAAATGGACTAAGCCGGAAAGAAAATTAATTAATCAATGTAATTGCCCATAGTGTTTAAATAGAAAAGGGCGTGGGTGTTTTCCTGCACTGAGGGTTGCACTTTCAGAATGATGGGCATCTGCTGTGTAAAACAATTGCCAGTGAAATTGGTGGCTCATTCAGCTATTGTGGAAACATATATTTTGATTTTCTAAAATGTAAATCATTTTCATGTTGGAAACTAAAAATTTCTCTTATTAATTTTTATTTTGTTTCAAAATTTCTTCTCAGTTTGTCAATTGACAATTGTCAATTGGTTTTTAAACTTTTTTTTAAGATGATTGATGAATCGAAAGCTCAAAAGAACCATATTTATCTTTTTGGGTAAGTCACTTTATTCATTAGGGGTCACCACAGCAGAATAAACAGCCAACTTATCCAGCATATGTTTTACACAGCGGATGCCCTTCCAGCTGCAACCCAGTACTGGGAAACACCCATAGACTCTCATTCACACACACTACAATCAATTTAGTTTTATTCAATTCACCTATTCCACATCTTTTGACTGTGTGGGAAACCAGAGCACCCAGAGAAAACCCACGCTAACACAGGGAGAACATCCAAACTCCACACAGAAATGCCAACTGGCCCTGCCAGGACTTGAACCATTATTGCTTCTTGCTATGAGGCAACAGTGCTAAACACTGAGCCACCATACTGCCCCATTTGTACCATCATGTCTGATCTAATACATTTTTTTTAAATATCTCTGATTCTCTGGGTTTACTAGATTTATTGGCCATGGGTAAACGTAAAATGTTAATATTTATTTTACTTTATCCAGGTCTGATTTCATTTATAATTCTTCCTAATTTATTTCTTTAAATAAACAATAAAAATATTTTCATTTTAAATATTTTTTCCATGAAATGACAATTGGTCGGAATAACAAATATTTGCTTATTTTGGGTAAAAATATTGATTTCTTAACTCTTTTGAAGTCAACAATTGTATGGTGTTAAAAATAAATATAAACGTCTGAAAACATGACACTTTTTCATGTTATGCAAAACAACAAAATATAGCAACCTTTTAATTTTAGATCTGGAAGAAATCTCATAAGTAGTTTACAAAATAAAACAAACAAATTACATTTAACTCAACATTACTAAAAAAAAAAAAGCCTTAGTTATTTTTAATATAGAGTGGTCCCTTGCTATAACACTTTTCACCTTTTGCGGCCTTGCAGTTTCGCTGATGTTTTTTGTGCAATTTTTACATGTTTATTCTTTATTTTTATGTTTTTTTTTTTACAGTGCATTGTGTTCTGTGCCATTATTGGCTGTATCAATCTCCTCCATGTCTCCTTATAGTACAGGATGCTTTCAGCTTAACAAATTAACCCAAACTTTCGATCGCTAACAATGTGAGTTCCAACAAGAATGCACAAAAGGTTGTAACTGTCCACAGCAAGACCATTGTAAAGGGGGTGACACACGAAAAAGCGACATGTATTTTAGAATTGTAAACATAGATTTATATCAATGTACACACACCGGCGCCGCAAGTTGGTGGCTGTCTGCAGTGCCCAGCTACTCAGGACACTGATGACATTTCTGCCACGCCATCTGAATAATATAATTTTAAATAGCATGCAAATGTGTGCGTCCGGTGTGTGTCACTTCCAACTGTCATGTGCACAGCCCATCCGCTGTGCGACCCCCTTAAGGATGGAGTCTGCTTTAGTTTTGTGGATCAGTGACTGCAGTAAAAAGAACACTTTTACGCTGGATGGCAACATTATCCGCATAAAAGCTGACAGTGATGAATGTTTGCTCCTAACAACGGGTTTTGATATTTGGTTTTATTCTATAATACTGGACTTATTTTTCTTCAAGGTTTGAACATTGCGAATGTTTAAACAAGGGAGAAAAGTGTGAAATTGTTAATACCTCTCTGAGAAAAGAGTGTGTAGCGAGGGGTTTTACAGCCTTAATACATCTATAATAATAGGAAATGATTAAAGCTGATTACTTCACAGATTTTTCTTGTTATTTTTAGAATGTAACTTCCATAAAAAACTAGGGACTACTGTATTTATAATTTATGTTTACCGTATATATTTGGGTTAAAAAGATGATTAAAATACTATTTAAAAATAAGTTTCAATGCTTTTTTAATCATTAGACATTTCCTATGTACTATCACTCATACTTCATCCAAATATTGAAGCGTACGCCACCTGCTATGTTCTGAATTCCGAATGAGAGAACAAGTGAGTGACTTATGCATGAATATTTCAACACAATATATACAGTGTAGCACATGAAAACACAGCGATGCCTCCTATATGCTTCACGAGTTCTGCATCACTGCCTGCTGTCATGACAGACATGAGGCCAAATTTACACTTTTCAATCCCTCGTTGACAGCTCCTCTCGACGGCTGGAGAAGAAAGTCTCCAAGTTGGCATTGTGCTTATTCAAAGTCATCACGATGGCAACGGTTAAGAAACTGCCTGAACAAACATCTATTAGTGCTTATTTTTACTTTATATGACGATCCCTTTAACGTAAATTGCAAGTGGGAGCAATGAAAGCACATCACCCAATCCAATTGAAAACGCAATGCAAGGTTAAAGATGGATCAGGTGCTGTGTGTGAACTTCTCACAGTGAATGCATCTTTTACACAGTAAATCACCAAACAAACAAGTTTCTGTTAACTGTATTCCTTTCAAAACTTGACCTTAGTGTGTAAATAAAAGCTGGAGGAGTGTACCTAAGGCCACGGTGCTGAATGAGACGGGCTCTTTTTCCTTTCCGTCGTTGTAGAAGGCCAGATGCCACGTGCCAGGGTCCAGATACTGCACAAAGATGGCCTCGTTCTGGACGACAGTCTGAATACTGCGCCGCTCACGAGGAGACTCGATAACGCTCCATTTCTCCTTCCCATCCAGCCTTTCCATGAAGTCATACTGAAGAGATGTACAGAGAAAGAGAGAGGTGAGAAAACAATCAGCTGCAGAGCGTCATCTGCACTAAACACTGTGATGACAATCAAAGAAGCCAAATTAAATCAAAATGTGGAAGAGGTAACAACTCTGGAACGTGACAGGGAACGTGAAAGAATTATGGAGACAAATATGCAGCGATAATTTGGAAATCATTTACAATTCATTAAAAAAAAAGACGCACACATAAAGGCCCATCTACACAGATGGTCTCTTCATGGTGATTAGCAAAAACCTGTTTTTTAAATTTTTTTTAAGAGGAATGTAATGGAGAACCAGATTTTATTGCTCTATAAAAGATAGCTCACACTCTGGCCACCAAATGGCCACAACCTCAAAAGGTTGTTGGATTTTGTCGGATTAACATGTTAACCTTGTTGGGGTTTAATTGCACAGCGAGAACTTAATAGCATCAACCAGTAGATTTAGATATCAACACTTGATATTTAGCAGTATCAAAACAGAGAGAGGATGGAAAATGGCCATGAAAACAAATGAGGACTACATTTCATGTAAGAGTTTAACGTAGCACCTGGCTTTTTTCATATTTTGAAATGGTGCGTTTCCCAAACAACAACGTAACCCACGGCTGAACTATCATGGTACGATGCATCGTATTAGAAAAGAACAATTTAGTGATGAGTGTGTTGCAGATCTATAATTTGAACCATGTTAGTTATAAAGAACGCCTTTAATGATGCTCTAAATTAGGTGGTAACAGCTTATTTAGAGAAGAACCCCATCATTTATTTGTGCAAATTATATTACTTTACACAAACATGCATTTAAAAAAATCAAATATTAGTTTGGGTAAAACATGCACTCATGTATATATGTAAGTGAAATATATAGGACTTATGTTTCCTTTACAAATATTATTGAGAACATTACATGTTCTATTATAAAACATAAAATAATTTACAAAAGGCTTACACGTATTCTAATATCATATATAAATCATATAAATAACAAGCTTTGAAGGTGTATGTAAATTCCGCTTTTAAATATTAGGTCACCTACTGCTTTCGTCATGACAGCTGTGTTCAAAATGACATCATTGTTTTCAAGGCGATCAATGTTTTTCAAATTCCGAAGGCAATGCAATTGTAATGAAGATCGCTAAAACTGAAATGTAAAGATACTTTGAAAGCAAATTACACCTGAAAGTGAGGACTTAATCATTCCAAGTTTAAATTTTAGAATGTTCTAAATGAATAGGGCATAGAGGGGGGGAATACTTGGAAAAGAACACAGCCAGGAACTATGTTTCTAACTACAGCTCTAGAGGTGAAGCTGTAACGTACAATTTTGGGACGCAGTTTGGAAATTTCTGTTGGAACGATGGATTTGGGAAATGCCAAATCAACAAACTATGTTTATAACGACAGTATACTGCGACCTTAGTTGGCTAACGATTGTTTTCGGAAATGCAACCCAGCATGTTTACAATGTTCACTGTAAGAAAAAAGATGATAATATAATTACCTTTTGACAATTGGTTAAACCCTAAAACAACACAGATCAAGTCTTTAATTTTATACAATGGGATTAATTCATGTATTTATGCCTCAATACAATAAAAAATACATTATGTTTATTCTCATTAAAAACAACTGGTTCATAACAGTTTGAGAATTTAAGAATCCAAAATCAAACAAAAAGTTTGTAGCTCAAATAATGTGTCTGTGCTCTTTGGGTAAGGGATTCATCAGAATAAACAACAAAAATCAGTCCAAGGCACTTGAAAAATGTGAAACTAATATTTAAAAGCCTTTATTGACATGGTTATTATAGGGTAACCCTGATGAAGGAAGTTGTTTGCCAAAACTTGTAGGCGCAGTTGTAAGGAATAACCATGCCAAGGCTTTTTAATGTTTTTTTTTTTCCCACATTTTTCGAGTGCCTTGGACTGATTTTTGCAGTTAGTTAATTTAGTTAGTTAAAACAGTTAGTTAATTGGGTAACACATTATTTTGATGGTCCATTTGAGTATAAGTAGACTTTGCAAGTACATGTCAACTTACACTAACCTTAATCCCAACCTAACAATCTACTTATAATCTACTGAGAATTAGTTGCAATGTAACTTTGATTCAACAAACGGACCATCAAAATAAAGTGTGACTGTTAATTCATATACTTGTCTTAATAATGTTTAATAACAAACTGTTATTATTATTTCTTCATAATAATACTCTTTCTGAAGCAAATGGATGCCAATAAACTTTATAAACCTTGTGCTTTTTCATGTATGTTAAAGCTTCAAAATACATCTCAATATACATCTCTGTCGTCCCTTTTGGTAAGCGATTATAATTTAGCTTCTTTTTCATCAACAACACAAAAGGAGCAAACTAGAAACTGTGGTTGCATACAGAGCTCACTTGCCCCTAGCTAACATTCTCAGACTCAGTCATTTGACAAGGTATCTACTTGATTAGTTAAAATATTTTTGACATCTAAAGTTTGATTATTTTGCTTGTTTATTTCTAAGTACACCACACTGTTCCTGTGTGTGTGTGTTTGTCTGTGTGTTTTAGGCACTGACATGAGTTGGTAGAGTAGAGCTCATTAATATTGATTACCTTTTAAAATATGGTCAAAACATATCCAAGCCACAAACCTTATATGTAGATATCAGACAAAAATCGTAAATTTTGGGCCCTATCATCGGCGCAGTAAGGCGCAAGTTGTGTTTGGTGGGATTTGTTGCTATTTTAGACCAGTGCAACCCTAATTAGCAAATTAATTAACCCTAAATAGCAATTCCATTTGTGCCACTTGGTGGACTCATGGTGGGCCGGTCTAATGGAGGTGTGTTAAGGTGCATTGTTAGCACATTACTATTTTAAAGAATTGAAATAGGCCGTGCTATTGACCATCTAAAAGTTTGTCTAAAGTCCAGTGCAGAGCGTGTTAGTAATGCACCTTTGTGGGTTCAAACACTTACACATTGCTTAATAATCACAAGATGTACAGCAATACACAAATATCTTTACATATGAAAACAATTAAAGGATTAAAATGCTACAAAAATTATTATTTTCTACATAAATTCAAAACCTACTGCCTCCATGACTTTTTTTTCAGTTCATTCATGACAGTTTGCATTTATATAATGTCATAATCATTACCAGTGTTATTTATTTTATGCATATCTACATTTGTTTTAATTAAAACAAGTTTACCTGTCCACCTGTTAGGTTTTTGAGACGTAGGCATCACTGTGCCTACGTCTCGGTGACTCGATCGTTCGTCACGTCCGTGCCGCCTCCTCAAAAGGTAATAAAGTACGTACTTTCTGCTTTCCTGGTGCCCGTGTGAGAAATATTTCTACACAGATTCCCTACCGCCGAGGAAATGAAAGGTTCAGTAGACTTTTAGCTTTGAATGAATGGCTAATAACATGGTGTAAAGAACAGAAATTGCTCTTTGCTAATAACTGGAATCTTTTCTGGGAGCGTCCTAGGCTCTTCCGTCCTGACGGCCTGCACCCCAGTCGAGCCGGAGCTGAACTCCTGTCGGAAAACATCTCCAGACTACTTCGCACCATCTGACTAGCAGGTAAAAATTCACAAAATTCACACTATAGCCACCTAGACTCTTGTTCACCCCACTTAAACATCAGTAACGCATATCTGGCGAATCCTATAGAGACTGTGTCTGTTCCTTGTATTATTAGATTAAGAAATAAACGTACTGTGTGCTCCAGGAAAAATCTAGTAAGAATCAAACCAGAAAAACCAGTAGAAAGTGAAAATACAAATTTCGTAAAACTTGGTCTCCTAAACATCAGGTCACTTGCACCTAAAGCACTTATCATTAATGAAATAATAACAGAAAACAATCTTAATGCACTCTGTCTCACTGAAACCTGGCTGAAACAAAATGACTATATTAGCTTAAATGAAGCAACTCCTCCAGGATTCTTATATAAACATGAGGCTCGTCAAACTGGTCGTGGTGGTGGAGTTGCATCAATCTTTAGTGATTTCCTTAATATTAAACAGAGAAACGGACTTATGTTTAGCTCCTTTGAAGTATTATCGCTTAATGTTCAGCTTCCAGATACTATACAAAAACCTATGTTATCTCTCGCTTTAATCACCATATATAGACCCCCAGGACCCTATGTCAAATTTCTAAAAGAATTTTCTGATTTTATTTCTGACTTACTAGTCAAAACTGATAAAATGCTAATTGTAGGTGACTTTAACATCCACATAGATGACGCTAATGATACATTAGGGCTCGCGTTTATGGATTTAATACACTCACTTGGGATAAAGCAAAACGTTGTGGGTCCAACCCATCGCTTAAAGCATACATTAGATCTAATTCTGTCTTATGGAATCGAGGTTATTGACGTAGACATTATACCACAAAGTGATGATATTACAGATCACTACCTCTTACTATATAAGCTATGTTTACCTGAAATCAGCAAACCCGCTCCAATACTCCGCCCTAGTAGAACTATTGTTCCGTCAACTAAAGATGAATTTATAAATAACTTACCTGATCTCTCTCTATTTCGTAATACACCCGCAAACTCAAATGATCTTGATGTAGTAACCAGCAGTATGGATGCCATCTTTACTAGCACACTAAATACTGTGGCACCCATCAAATTAAAAAAGGCTAGAGAGATTAAAACTATACCATGTTATAATAGTCATACTCGTGCGCTCAAAACAGCAACCCGCGCCCTGGAACGTAAATGGAAAAAAACTAATTTAGAGGTCTTTAGAATTGCGTACAAAGACAGTATGTCCAGCTATAGGAGGGCTCTAAAATCTGCCAGGACCGAGCACCTGCGCAAACTGATAGAAAATAATCATAACAATCCTAGATTTTTATTTAACACCATCTCTAAATTAGCAAATAATCGGTCATCCTTGGAACAAACTACTCCACCGCAAATTAGTAGTGATGACTTCATGAATTTTTTCAGTAATAAAATAGAAGGCTTTAGACAGAAAATAGGAGATGCCAAACTTTCTGCACCGGCTTATACTCCAAATCCTGTAAATATTTCATTAAATCATAATAATAACCTACACTGCTTCAAAATCATAGAACATGAAGAGTTAGTAAAAATTATAAATAGCTCTAAACCAGCTACGTGTATGCTGGACTCAATTCCAACAAAATTACTGAAAGAGCTGCTACCTGCTATAGGAGAACCTCTTCTTAACATTATCAACTCTTCTTTATCTATAGGCCATGTTCCAAACTCTAACAAGCTAGCTGTTATTAAGCCTATTATTAAGAAACCGCAACTAGACACCAACAACTTAGCTAACTATAGGCCTATTTCAAATCTTCCATTTATGTCTAAAATACTAGAAAAAGTTGTTTATGTTATGCTCTTATCTGCAGACGAACAATATTTTTGAAGTGTTTCAGTCAGGTTTCAGGGCTCACCACAGTACAGAAACCGCCTTAGTGAAAATAACCAACGATTTACTCTTAGCTGCTGACCGAGGGTGCGTCTCGCTATTAGTTTTACTCTATCTTAGTGCGGCATTTGATACCATTGACCACAATATCCTCATAAATCGCTTAAAGTCTACAGGTGTCCAGGGACAGGCTCTACAATGGTTTAAGTCATACTTAACTGACCGCTACCAGTTTGTGAATCTTAATGGACAGCCTTCACAAATCTGCCCAGTACAGTATGGGGTGCCTCAAGGATCAGTTTTAGGCCCTTTACTGTTTACAATTTACATGCTACCTCTGGGAGACATTATTAGAAGACATGGGATCAGCTTTCACTGCTATGCAGATGATACTCAATTATATATTTCCACTAAACCTGACGAGACGTCTGAACTTTCTAAACTAACTGAGTGTATCAAAGACATCAAAGACTGGATGACCAACAATTTTCTTCTCTTAAACTCAGACAAAACAGAATTATTACTTATTGGGCCTAAATCTTGCACATAGCAGATCTCGCAACTCAATTTACAAATAGAGGGATACAAAGTTAGCTTTAGCTCTACTATAAAAGATTTGGGTGTCATATTAGACAGCAATCTAACTTTTAAAAACCATATATCCCATGTCACAAAAACTGCCTTCTTTCATCTGAGAAATATCGCTAAATTACGAAATATGCTATCCATCTCAGATGCAGAAAAGCTAGTCCATGCTTTTATGACTTCGAGACTGGATTACTGTAATGCTCTATTTGCTGGCTGCCCAGCATCCTCTATTAACAAACTTCAATTAGTACAAAATGCAGCAGCCAGAGTTCTGACCAGATCTAGAAAATATGATCATATAACCCCAATTTTATCCTCCTTACACTGGCTGCCTGTTAAATTTTGTATTGAATTTAAAATATTACTTCTCACCTATAAAGCTCTAAATAATCTAGCGCCTGTTTATCTAACCAACCTTCTGTCTCGCTACGAACCAACTCGTTCCTTAAGATCTCAAAATTCAGGGCTTCTGGTAGTACCTAGAATAGCAAAATCAAGTAAAGGAGGTCGAGCCTTCTCTTTCATGGCTCCTACACTCTGGAATAGCCTTCCTGGTAATGTCCGAGGCTCAGACACACTCTCCCAGTTCAAAACTAGATTAAAGACCTATCTGTTTAGTAAAGCATACACTCAATGCATCACCTAGCGGGTTCCACACAGGCTTCTGCATCTTGCTTATATACACTATGAACAGCAGCTACGCTAATTATTCTCTTTATTCTCTATTTTCACCTGGGGATACTCATCCCGAGGTCCTCAGATTAGGCGGAGTCACTGATTGGATCCAAGACCAGCGACGTGATGATCCCAAGGATTCCATATCCGGGACCAGGCCATATCCTGAGCTGCTGCTGCGCTGATGGTCGTGGGGAGTGGAGAACATGTGTCTGATTCCAGCGACGCTCCAGGGACAGACGAGTCTTCATTGAGGCCATCTTCCAGCATAAACCACGACGAATGAAGTTCTGCACTAGACTTTTGGCCAGCGGAGAAATTAAAATGGTCGTGCCCAACTGAGTCTGGTTTTCTCAAGGTTTTTTTTCTTCACTCCCATCAGGTGAAGTTTTTTTTCCCTCTCCGCTGTCGCCACTGCCTCGCATGGTTCAGGATTGGTAGAGCTGCGCATCGATGAATTTGCTCTTCAGTGTTTGAACTCTCAGTAATGATTAAATCACACTGAACTGAGCTAAACTGAACTGAACTGAACTTAAACACTAAAACCTGAACCACACTGTTCCAGTTACTATGACCATTTATGTGAAGCTGCTTTGACACAATCTACATTGTAAAAGCGCTAAACAAATAAAGCTGAATTGAATTGAATTGTATGGGATATAAGAAAAGGATATGTGTTTGGATATAACTCAGCTTTTTGAGCACACTTTGTTATTATTGTTCATTTATTAATTAGCTAGAAATTAAAACTAAATTTAGAAATAGTTTTGAAATAAATCAAATAAATCTTTGCACTTAACAAACTAAATTACATATGTAGAGTAATGGATGTCTTCAGTGGAGTGCAAACAACACCATTTTCTTATCTACAAAAGTAAAGAGAAAGTAAAGAGGCTGAATGGAGGAGGCTCATTCTTTATCCTCATGCAGATTGTTAAAGTAGCAGTTTTTTCCACTTACAAAGTCCACCATGTAAACAGCAAACATGGCTCTTAATGGAATGGGAGACGAGACTCTGATTGGTTTAATGCACGTTATGATGAAAACACACCCATAACTCATTAAGAGAATAAGCACAACCCTGTTAGACCATGCGCCAGGGCGCATATTTTTATTTTTCTGTCCTTAAAATAGCAAAAGTGTATTCAGATATACCCTTAATGATTTTGCGCCATGCCCTTTAGACTTTTCGCTTCAATCATCAAAATAGAGCCCTTTATATCGATGCACTAAATGGCACTTTTAAAGCTTTTAATATGTGAAAATGTTGGTGGCTCTTAAATGGATGAAAAGAAATCTCTCAATTGGAAATGAATGTACACCCACAGAACAAATGTCCTATGGCTTTGGCAACATGATAATTTATAAATGAAAGCAGAATTTCCAGTGTTGACTGAACTAACCCTTTACCAAAATGTAATAAAAAACTGGACTCTCAACCAGAATTACAAATGGACATGGCCCCTTTAAGAAAGTAAACAAGACATGAGGCGATTTGCTCACCTGAGCGTGTGAAGGAGGCAGGCCTTTGCGCATGTAGACCCCAAACAGCGCGTCCTTGCCCAGGGAGATGTTGAACTTGAGGAAGTGTGGCTGGCGCAGGTGAAGCAGAGACCTCCAGAAGACGCCTGGAGGAACATCCTGACTGACACGCTGACCCAGCTCCAGCTCCCCGCTGCTTATACTGCTGTTCTTCAACACCCACGGCCCTGAGACCGAAGCCAAGACGGGAAAGAAAAACACACAAAGAGAGCCTTTCAAAGACAAGGGGAATGGGGAACATCCTCAGCTCCGTGTGGAAATGTTTGCAGAGAAAAAATCAACATATATTATTCCACAGAGATGCAGCTCTATGCTAATGAATGAGCGGTGTGGGCTGCCAAAGTCATCAACCCTAATTCAAACCCTGTCTTCTCTCTTGAGATCATAATACCTCAGCATGACAGCGCTAGCCACACTCGCAAACCTCCTTTCCCATTACACCTGCTAAGTCTGTCCTCTAGAGAGAAAACTGTTGACGGCGCAGATAGATCCCGGCAACTCCAATCAGAAAAAAAAGCCAGCAAATGGGCCTTGATGCTATCAGAAACAAACACACACACACACACACACACACACACACACACACACACACACACACACACACACACACACACACACACACACACACACACTGACACACTCTCTTTGTGTCTGAGAGGCCAGTGCAACACGAGTGGGCTTGGTGTTGGCTGTCAGTCTAGCTGCCGTTTGCAATGTTTGATGTGCCCTGATAAGCAGAGACAATCTGTTTCCCTGCCTGCTAAAACCTCTGGCTGCATTTAAACGAGTTATGGTTCAGAGAGGAACTGAATCTGAGCGCGCGCGAGCAGGCTCTTTCCCTAAATGGATCAAGCTTTCTTTTTGCAGGCGAGCAGGCGCACGTACGCGCAGTGTCAGGCCTGAGTGACAGGTCGGTTAAAGCGGCCCGCTCTGGTAACCAGTGGGAGCTCGCACCAGCCTCCCTCATTAACACGGAGCATGGATGGACAGCTCGGCACTGAAGGAGAGCACCACACTGAGATGGAGAAAGTGAGATAGATAAAGAGAGAAAAATTGGGAAGCAGAAAAAAAAGGGGGAGAAAAAGTTCCCTGGAGAGGGTGCACAAGTCCTCAGCTTTGGAGCTCAACTCCTCAAGCTCGCAACCAGCCAGAACTGCTCACATCAGAGCCAATGAAAAAAAAACAACCTCTCCTTTACCCTCATGAACGCACACTCGCCAGAATTGGTATGGATGGACTTTCTATAGATTATGTCGGACTCTCCTCTTCATATGGCTTTGATAGCTAGTGTGAAATTTAAAAAGTAGGGACATTCAGGTAGAACATTCAAAAACTACTGAAGTATAAGTACTTACAGAAAAAAAAGACTTATGAAGTTAATATATCTAGTAGCACTTCATTTTACAGTAATTTTACATGTGTGCATTTTATGTACGTATCAAAGTCAGCAGCTGCCCACACAGATTTTACTTGGGTGGGCCACTCAGGTATATTAACAGCCATAACAAGTACATTTAATGACCTTTTTCACTATTATTATCAACCTATTACACTTTTTTTTGTAGCCGCTCAATATAACTAAACATCCGCGATTGATTAAGTAGTGGTACATCTCACGTTCACCCATTTTATTCGGTGTACACAGGATCTGTCAAGACCAGCCTAGTGAATGGGGTGGTTCTTTCTTTCTTAAAATATGAACCTTTTTGAAGCTATTAGCCTCCTTTTCTATTTTAGTATGTGGTTTAAATACTTTTTAAGCACCATTTCTTGATGGATTAGCTTGTCAGCAATCACATTTTTTGATGTACCAAAAACATTTCCTAAAGATTTAGAAGAAAAAAAAATTAGAATAATATTTATTTTACAAATACAAGTTAATTACATTATATATCATTAGAAAAAAAAGATGCTGTTCAAGTTTAAATTAAAAACTTGCCTATTGTCATTTATTAGGCACAAACACAAACTGGCCAGCACATTGAACTTTCCTCAGTAACGCTGAAGCAACAACCAAAAGAGGATTCCACCTGGTCTTAAAGCCTTCTTTGATGGTTATTTTCCCAATTTCTTATTGCATAACAGTCAAAATAGGACAAATGAGCTCTTGTATTGGACAAATTTTCAGACCTTTGTCAGTGAGGGCTGCGTGTGTCGAAGCACCCAAACCCCCTTACGGGCCTGAAGACGCTGGTAAGACAGTCTCACGTGCTCTGCAGACCCACAGACTTGCATTTTTGGGGCTTAAATTTGATGTCCGGCGTTTCTAAATCTCTTAATATGTTTGGGACTTCATGGCACAATTTAACTGATTACAATTCATAAGTAATTTACCCAGCTCTAATTTCTACACCAGAACCTAACCTTGACCACTAAAATGACTTAATATTAGGGATGTAACGATATTGTAAATACCGTCATACCGCAATATTAATTTTTTTCGATATTACCGAAGTCGCATGACTCGGTAAAACTATAGGTCTTCTGAGAAAATTTGCTCAGGCGAATGAAGCGAACGGGAGGTAGCTTAAACTACATTTCCCATCAGCCCAGGCGTGGCCATAATCCTTTGCGGTCTGTTGTCACCGCGCGCGTACTGAATAGCAGTGTTGTCGCGCGCGTTCTGATCAGCTGTGTTGTTGCGCGCGTATTGTAAAGCGCCGAGGGGGGGTTGAGCGCGCATACTCAAGAGCAGTGTTGTCTACTGAAGGGCTGGACGGAGGTTGTGTCGCGTCGCGGGGGCACTTTTGATCATTTTGGAAGGGAACTTTCTATCCAAGACTAAAAAGGGCATGTGCACTGCACAGGTTGAGCCCTATGTGTGCACGTGCCTGCAAGTTGGGGAATACGACTAATAGCAGTCATGGGGACTGCAGAAACACAGCACACTGTTCAGATTGATGCAGACATTGACTTGTACCGCAAAGAGACCTCTATCTCACTCATGGTTTGTCTTCTCAAGTGGGGGAAAGACAATGCACAACGTTACCCACTGCTGTCAACATGGGCCAAGTCATATCTCTGTCCCAGAATCCTCAGTCCCAAATGAGAGGGTTTTTTTCTGTTGCAGGGGACATTGTAAATGCCCAGAGATACCAGCTTTTACCAGATTATAGTTATATGATAATTTTCCTTTAAACCCATCTCTATCTAAGTAAGTGAGTGAGTGATTAAATGTTGAATGTGATGAGTTTTCAACAATACTAAATTGAAACTTTATTTTTTTTACATGGTTTAATAATTTTTTGTTATTAAAATTGAAGTTCCTGTTTCAAAGCTTACAGATAGATGGCTAATTTGTATGTCATTGACACTTTTGGCACTTTTTTGGAGTATTTTCAAAAGTTTTGTTTTTCCTGTAAATGATTCAATAAATACCGTACCGTGACATTCATACCGAGGTATTACCGTACCGTGAAATTCTGATACCGTTACATCCCTACTTAATATACCCAGTACTTTCCTTTTTTCCCACAACAAATCAAATAAATTAAGAGATAGTTAGAGAACTTTTAAAGAACTATACAGGGTTCAATCTCTATCTATACACATAAAAACCTTTACTTATTTAAAAGACATTGCAGTGCCCAGTTAATAAAGCGCTTACTCACTGGCAAACAATGGATGCATTTGCAGATTTAGTTACAAAATATTGTGGATTCTCTTCATTCAGTGCTGTTTGTGTCCTGTTATGGTTTAAAATGAGAAATCACTTCAGACCATTTCATGCGTGCAGGAAGCTGAACAAATCATTTCAACAAACTCATTTGAGAAGTTGCGCATAAACACATAAAATAACTGAATTTCAATATTTACTCCAAGTGATGAAGCTTGGCATGCTGACAACTAGAAAGAAAGTTTCAAAATCAAACTATATTATAAGTCTAAATACAGATGACTCATTAAACTACTTGCACATTAACTGCAGTATACTAGTTAGTATACAATAGCCTCTTTCACACAGTGATGCTAGTAAATATCTGGAAAATTTCTGGAACAACTCTACCGGTAAACTCAAAAAAGCAGTGTTTACACAGACGAGGACATTACGTAATTTGTTAGGAAAAGACAGATCTATTCCAAAATACCGGTAAATTCTGACATCATGACCAGAAATGGCCTTTAAATGGCTACACTTTTATTTGTAAACATTTGATTACATTACAAACTCTGTGGAAGGATAGGTATTGTGATCAACTTCGATGAAAACATATGGAAGAACACTTTCGCATGTCAAGATGTTCACAATATATGCGTGTGTGCTGGCGCTCACTGTGTATGACTCCCATGAGTTTAAAGAACTGCATCCATACATCTCTGCAATGGGTCAAATAACTTATTAATAAAGTCAGCTGGAATGGCAAAGAAAGCTTTCTTGCAGGACTCCCAGAGTTTATCAAGATTCTTTGGATTCATCTGCAATGCCTCCTCCATCTTACCCCAGACATGATCAATAATGTTGGCATCTGGTGACTGGGCTAGCCAATCCTGGAGCACCTTGACCTTCTCTGCTTTCAGCAACTTTGAAGTGGAAGGTGAAGTATGAGGAGTGCTATCCTGCTGAAGAATTTGCCCTCTCCTGGGGTTTGTAATGTAATGGGCAGCACAAATGTCTTGATAACTCAGGTTGGTAATGTTGCCGTCCACTCTGCAGATCTCTTGCATGCCCCCATACTGAATGTGATGCTAAACTATGATTTTTTCTTCACCAAACTTGACTGATTTCTACAATAATCTTAGGTCCATAGGTCTTCTGCAGTATTTGTGATGATTGGGATGCAGTTCAACAGATGAGTCATCTGAAAATCTACCCTTTGCCACTTTTCCAAATGATCAAGGATAAGTCAAGTTTTTATTTGCTGCTTTTACAACTGGGATCGACAACAAGACTATTATCAGTGAGTGAAGTTTTTAATTTTTAATTTTTATTATTATTATTATTATTTTTACAAACGACTATTGTCAGATTTAGTGCACTTTTGTGTATAAAATTATTTGCTAAATACTTTTAGTATGGCACAAATACACACACGCACACACACACACACACACACACACACACACACACACACACACACACACACACACACACACACACACACACACACACACACACACACACACACGCACCACACACGCACACACACACACACACATAGTGATTTTA